ATTTGTAGTGTAATTTTCCCCAAGTTAGCAAATATGATTTAACACTATAGCACTGAGGATAAAATAATTTTACACTGTATTAAAAAGTGTTAATTTACCTAAAATCGTGTACTTCTACACTTCCTGTGTAAAATCCCACTTTTGTTCAGTGTAAATTACCACTACTTTGGAAAAGTTCTAATTTTAGAAAGGTACTTTTACTCTTTTAGTGCAAACTTCTAGTGTAAATTAACACTATTATTTGAGTAAAACCTATTGGTGGTAGTAAATAAAACGAAAAGGTAAATAAAGAGAAACATTTATTTGGAACAAAAATCTATGACAATTATCAAAATCGGTGCCTTTTAAAATATAATTTTATATTTGAGTCGTATATATACGACAGCTATAGCTGGCTTAAGCAAAATGGTTCCTTAAAACCTAAAAGTTTTAGATCAATGCAATGTTTTACTGGCTGTCAACTTGTAAGCAATGAATTATCTTGAGAATTCATCAGTAATCCATTTTTCTGTTATAAAAAATGGGTGATCCCATTGGTAGAGAGGCGTCAGGCGGATGGTATGTCGGGGATTTACCACAATTGTACAAATTTTCCATAATATTAATAAAAATGTAGGTATACCTATATATAGGTTAATATAACAACTACAGTGTTGCCAACAGTCTGAAAGTAGTTTCCGCCGAAGGCAAACTGAAAATCCGCTAAAAATCCGCCAGATTTAAAATTATTTTTGGAATAATAAAAAAATATATTGTATTTTCTTATTCTTTTTAGGTACTTAAAATTATTTTCCTCCCACAAAAATTTGCAGTCATATTACGCTGTTATACTTTTTAATTATTAATTGTTAAAAAAATAAACATTTTTTTAGTCATTGGGTATACTTGGACATTCTGTTAAAATTTTCATCTTTCGTCTCCTCTTCTACACACACTTTAATGGGATGTCTTTAACTAGAGATATAACTAGAGTTGGCGAAACTCGTAGAAATAAGTTATTTCAAATAACCTAGCAAAACTTATTAATGTTTGACATTTGACACTAGGAATTGTCGGTAAAACAGTGCGCATTAAGATAGTTTATCTTATTGCGCACTGTTTTACCGACAATTTCATTCGAAGTGTCAAATGTCAAACATTAATAAGTTTCGCCAACTCTTTAGAAACTTAGAACTAACTAAGTTTTTTTTTTAATACCTTTTTAGCGGTTTTTGCAACTGTTATCCGCCAGAAGTTTTAATAATTTCCGCTAAAAAATCCGCTATCCGCTAAAACCATTTTTTATCCGTCAAGTCAATTTTTTTTCCGCCATATTTGACGGGAAAACCGCCGTGTTGGCAACACTGAACAACTATAGTATTACGCTTGAAAATAAAAAGTAAATGAAGTGTGTATGTATTTATATTATTAATTTTACAAGTACCCGACCTACTGCCGTAAATTATTGATATATAATATAGGTCGGGTATGGACATCCTTTTAACATATTGGTATTTATTGAGTATTAAGGCTTAAAGGAAAAGAAAGTATAATACTTACCAAAAAATAAGAATGTCCCCTTATGGATTCACCGAAATTAAAATCTAACTGAACAAAAATGCCACACTTCCACAACGCGGTATCTCCGGATATGCACTGCGTAGGTAGATAGGTACCAACCAAACATTTTAAAACGCATTTCGGTTATTACCAGTTTTTTCAGTCTATTTTGCCACTATTGGTGTAATTTAACTTTAATTGTGATACAATGTGCACTAGTAGTGTAAAGAAAAAGAGCTCTTAGTAACATCAAAACAGACAAAGAAATTGGCATGCACTGTAGTGTACATTTTGTCACTATTTAACACATTAAGGCCCCGGGGTAATAAACACTCGCATTAAGTTTTTCTACCCTTTTGATTTATTTTAATAATAAATAGTGTGAATGTACCTACCAATGAATAATGTTCATATTCTTTAAATGTGTTTAATAAAGTTACTAAGCACTAAATGCTACCTAGTGAACAGAAAAGAGGGAATTTTCCAAAATTTTATCTAATCGATTGTTAATCTTGAATTAAGAATAAGATTATTTCATTTAAAGTCTTTCTTAACATTTAACAGGCAAGAATAAGATCTGCTTGTTTAGAGAAAGATTAATATTAAGTTTAATGTAAGTTTTAGCCTTGACAATATTAGGTCAATCATCTTGTTTCAAATGTACTTGATTTTAAGCTAAGAAATAAAATCTTTTTTAACATTTAGAAAACGTTATTTTCTGTGTAGCTTCGGGCATAGCAGACCCTGCCTTATAAAAATGATTTTGTCCCAATAAAGGCTTAATGCTATTTCCTGCAGGAAATAGCATTCAGTGTTAGAGTGCATATGTTTTTCATTTGCATTTTCTCGGTAACTTCATTAACAACGAAAATTCAGATAACAATTGCGGTTATGAATAATTTCGGTTAATCAATGTAAATGTGGTGAAATTCCAACTTTATTTTACCTACGTGTTTACTGTTATTCAATATAATTGAATACGTTTAAAAGGATTTTAAATTTTAAAAGACTGTTGTTGCTAGGTAGTGTCTAGTTATTATTCCGAGAAACAATAAAAAGCGTGTTAAATTTTACAATGTTTAATATTTTATTGTACAACTGTGAAAAAATAAAGCAAATTTTACTCCCAATCTGTTCGACATCTGGGCTCCATTCAGGGTTTTCGCTTTTAAAAACTTAATACATGAATGAAACTGAAACATATTGGAAATATTAATGGCCATTTTACGCACTAATATTGTAATAATTGACTTTTGTCTCATATCGGGTATCTGGACATTGTTCACCAGTTTTGCCAACAAGGGGGCAAATGTTTTAAGAAACTTATACTACTACTACTGTCAGCAGACATGTCTTTTAGTTTGCCCCAATTTCAGCTTGTCTTAAGTTTAGCTTAAACCCAGTTAATCTTAGTAATTTGATAATTGAATAACCAAAACTTGACCCTTGCAAAGTTCCTTTATAGTTTAAAAATAACTAAAAAACTATGATATCCGCTGAAATATTGAAGCCATATTTATATAGAATGTAAAATATGGAAATACTTTAGAACTTAAATTGTAGTTGTAATTTATATTTTCGGCCTTTTTTATGGATCTTTTTTTTTCGTTCAAAAGCACACACTGGGAGATCGTGTCTGTATAATTTAACCGAATTCGGCGTTTGATTAATGGTTTTCTTTTGAAAACGGTAGATAACATTCTTATTTTCTTAAAAAGCATAGCGGATCACTTGTTTAGTTAAAATTATTAAAGTTTTCTTTGAAAACACAAAAGTATACCATCATTAGTATTGTGTTTCGAGAAATCGGTAAAGCAAACCTTGAAAAGCGTTAAAATTCTAAGCAAAATTTTTTTGATGGGATAAAAAAATATTTGAGTGTGAAAAAAATAAACTGTTCTTCAATCTTATAAAATATATAAATGTCAAAATGTTCACTGATAATAAATAATTACAAAAATGCGAAAAACAACTGAATAAAAAATAACCATATATCTAAATATATCAAATGATAGTTAATTATCAGTACTTTAACGTGATGTACTCAAAATTATAAAATAACATTGCTTCTTCGATTTTTTAACCCTTAAAAAATGGTAAAATTTTAAATTAAATTGTCCCCAGCGCCTCCTGTATGGTAAAATCTAAAAAAAATATTCGTGGATTATTATTTATTAATAAGGTCTACATTTTATCTTAATTTCAAATCGATACATTTTTAAATACAAATTTAAAATTATAATTATAAGATTTTAAATAAAAAACTAAAGCTTCTCATAAAAATATTTTTTCATCGAATAGGGAATTTTATTTCACTCTGTATATAAGATTTTTTAAATAGTCTATTTCTCGATGATTTAAATAAAAACATTCTTCATTTGATTAGAAAACTAAATATGTGTTCTACAACATATCTTAAAATAAATACATCAATAAATATTATTTGATACACACCAACGGTTTTTTAATTTTAAGATTACGATAATGTTTGAGTCAATATGCTCTTTAAATTTTAAATCGCAATTTAAAGGGGGTAAAAAACCTGTTTCTCACTTTTTATGCAACAAAATTCGCACAATAACGTTACGGTCGTTAGATTTTATAATAGAATTCGTCGAGACTTGGGAATTTGAATAAAACGAACTGCCAAATAATTTGAATTGTATTTAAATTTTTCAAATTGTTTTTTAACCCTTTATCTGATATATGAATCTTAGAACAATTGTTTATTTTTATAAAATAGTTAATGTGGAATTTTTTAGAATTATTAAAAACTTAGAAGAAGGTTTTTCATACAATTTTTAAAAGTTATGTAATACCTAAAGACAATACTATAGACCAATATAATTTTTTTCAGGTTAAGTTAAGCAATAATTGTTTCAAATATTGTCTATTCTTTTTTAACTTTAAACTTTAAATTTCCAATAAAACACCCTATTTTTTATTGCAGATTTGGATCATTCGACTAAAAATAGTTAGATTTTGTCTAAAACATTTTTTCATATTTGTAATAGATAGCGCTGTAATGAAAAAAAATCAATTTTGTTCGATTTTTCTACTGTATACGATTCTGCAATAATTTTTCTATAAAAATATCACTTTTTGGGTAATAATTATCTTATTAAATTAAATCTGATTAAGTACCCACGATTTTTTAACTAATATTTAAGTTTCCTTTTTTCCACCGATAAAATTCGATCGCGTACTTCATTTCACCGTACAGTCAAGCAGTTTACTACAAACTGGAGTGTTCAACCGAAAAGTGTTAGCAGAATAAGAAAAATCGAACAAAATTGATTTTTTTCATTACAGCGCCATCTATTACAAATATTTTTTCAGAAAATGCATACTAACTGAGGTATTTCAAAGTTCCAAGTTAAATAACTTATCCTGTATATATGGTGTTGGAAATTTTGTTGCTATAATTCCTTCAAAATAAAATCGACGAAAATTTAAATGCCCGACCACAATACAGTGTACGTAAATAAAGTGGTGGGGGAGACGGAACGAGCGCTTCGACAACAGCACACTTGACTGAATCAGCCGGAGCTTTCCATTGCTCTCTTGAAACTGAAAGGAGCGACATCAAAAACCGGCGAGGAACCAAAACTTCAGCACAACAATTTCTCGCTAAATTGTGATATTACGAGTAACTTAAATTTTATTATACCGGACATTCAATTATTATTATTATTATAGTGTTTTAACTGAGTAGTGCTAAGTGTTATTGAATTGTGATAAAAATGGACTTAATTTGCAACGAGCAGGCCGAAAATGAAAACCAGGCCTACGACGATAAAAACCTTCTACAAGACAGAGTATTAAAAAGGCTTCTGAAGGACGAGGACCGCTACTGCATACAGTATTCGAACAACTTTAGGTCCATACAAACCGAAGTCACAGTGGATATGAGAAAAACTGTAGCAGAGTGGATGATGGAGGTAATTTTTCATTTTTTCATTCATTTTGGGATTTTTCATTTTGCCTGTATCTCCAACATTATTGAATCTAGAACGCCCAAATTTGCAATGAAGTCAATAAACACTATTAATAATATTCTGTTAAAATTTTAAAAACCTAGCTTCAAAAATACAGGAGACATAAGCAAATAATTCTAAACTCAACATTTGAAATTCAAATTCGAATCAGCTGATTAGATATCCTGAAGCCACGTTAGCGCAAAAAAAAAGTTAAATGTCTGGCTCGCAGAGGTCAACCACCCATTAATCATCAGCTGTAAGAGGCCCACCAAAATTCGCGAATAAATAAAATAAACAGGTTGGATTTTAAATTAAAAAACTACTCGATGGCAACGTCCTTGCGTCCTTGAATATTATAGTACCGGAAAAGTTTTCTAGTGTCGAGTGAATTTTAATTTGAACGTAGGAAATGGTCTTTAAAGTTTAAAAAACTTTTGTATTACTACGCTTCACTGGCTCACAAGGTTTTTAAATTAGTGAATAGGCACATTTTTTAACTAACAATGGCTTGAATTCAGGTTAACGATTTTAACATTTAAATTATTTGATCCAGCGTAATTTTTTTTTTTGTAAAATTGGCAATATTATTAGTAATACAAAATGTACCTAAACCACATTTCTAAATTGAAAATGTAAAATTATAACTCTAATCTGCATAAATATTTAAATAAGCATTAGATTGTCGCCAAATCCCAGCTGATAAAACACAAAACTGATAAAACCAACCAAAACGTGACGTAAGAATTCTGCCAGTAACACCAACATCAAAAACCAACTTCAGCTCAAGCATTTTTCTCTTTCATTTCAGGTTTGCGAAGAGCAAAAATGCCAAGACGAAGTGTTCAACCTGGCCATGAACTACATGGATCGATTTCTAATGTGTTGTCGCATCAAAAAAAATCAGTTACAGTTGTTAGGTACGGCGTGCATGCTGATCGCATCGAAATTAAGGGAACCGCGCCCTCTATCCGGAGAAATGTTAGTGTATTATACGGACCATAGTGTTACCAAGGAACAACTTTGGGTAAGACAGAGTTTTTCTTATAAAACCACTAAAAAAACTGTTATAAAACTCTTATAAAGCTGTTTTAAAACTGTTATAAAACCATTATAAAACCTTTTTGAACCACTAAAAAACTGTTATAAAACTGTTATAAAACCTTTAATATGGCCTAAAAACCATTATAAAACCTTGTCGAATTGCCCTTGCCATTATAGGGACTGAATACCAAATAATTTACTATACAACCTTTATGGGAATTTTAAAGAGCAAAATATATCATAAAATAGAATATTTACTTATAAAACTGTTTTGTGACGTTTATAAAATAATATCTTTAAATAATCATAATATGGCCCCTGCTTTACTAAAATAGCTGTAAAAACGTAGATTAGCTGCAAAAACAACTTATAAAACCACTATAGAGCTGAAATGGCCTTTAAAGTGTTGAAGTCCTTCTAAAGAAAAAAATCTTCAATAGGTCTTCTATAGATGCGAAGTTCATTAAAAACGCCTATAATTTGACTTAAGGCCTTTATAAAACAATTAAAACCACTATAAAACCAAAATGGTTTAAGTCGTAAATTAATGTAAAGCAGATAGTGTAAAGTAATAAATTAATAATTCAGAAAAACGTGGTTTAATCCTAAAAACAACTTATAAAACCACTATAGAGCTCAAATGTCCGAAATCTGTGTCATATAAGTACATATTATGTGAAATTTATTAAAAATGCTGGCTTGCAGAAATTATTTTTAGTCGTAAATCAATGTAGGGCAAAAGTAATATTCATTAAATTATTAAACAAAAGGCGATTTTATCAAGCAAAAAGTGGTTACCTTTTTATCAAAAACACAATTATTATAAGCGATACTTAAACCTCTTCCTTGTTCGATAGAAAGGTTTTTTAAAGTTAATCAAAGTAGTTAAATTGTTTTATATAGTACTTATAATATTGCCCTTTAAATATAAATTTTCTTCATCATGTCGTTTTTTTCTAATTTAAATGTCTGGTTTTTAAAAAAGCGATTTAAAATTCAAATTACAGTTTACATTTCGGTTATGACCTTGAATATAAAAAGCGGACAGCTTATGTAATTCCGTCAAATAACGCAGAAAATATATTTGCTTTTTTTATCTGGATAATTATATATTCTAAAATTATGAATGAAAATAACAGCTGATTGAGATTGACCCCGAGAATACTATCTTAAAGTCTAAAGTTAACACGAGGAAAAATTGATTTTTTCACAGCTGTTTTTTGTTTGTTCCCCAAATACTTTTATCTGGAGACGTTGACCCTATATTTGCTTTTTTCGCAAACTATTCGATAATTTTTTAGGTCAGCAAACAATAATTCTTTCATAAAATATTTCCATATCTCTGTATTAAGTATTAATAGTTTGCGGTCAAATTTAACGAACTAGAAGTATTTTTATTATTATTATAAATATGCTTGGTATTTTTGCTTTACTAGCAATATAATATAGGCGTTTGTATGAATATATCATATGTTTTTGCTTGACATCATTCTTAAACAATTCGCCATTTCCTGCCATTTTATTTGATCAATAAAAACAACGCTTTTGAAAAATATCGATTTTTTATGTGTTCAAATGTAAAATAACGATTTCCTCAATTAGGTGCTGTCAGTTTAAATGTTTTAACATGTTAATTGAACGATTAAAATAATAATGTTATATCGTTGGGTTTTTAAAATTTAAAAGGCGCATATTGTTTGTTTTGTAGCGTATACCTAGGTAATATCTTATTTGTTTGTTGGTAGATAATGGAATTTTTTACTGTGATATACGACAAATCATTTTTTTGTATACAAGGTGTTCTAAATATTGCATGTGGAACGGCATTTAAATGTTTATCAAAGGTGTAAAAAATTTGACACAATTCCTTGTCACAAATCGCCACCTAAATAGATAATTATCGGTATTTAAACTTTCTTTTAGTGCCTTTTAAACATTAAAGGTGTAATTATTCCATGAAAATCCACGTTTACTGCCTCGCGTCATCGGCGGCGCCACTTTTTAATACAGGCCACGATTGTTCCCATTGTGTGTCATTCTTATTTTCGGTAGATTTGACTGCAACAATGCGGGATTTTTCTTTATTTATTTCCAAAAGTCACAGGATCCTATTTCTCTCTCGAGCTTTCCGAGAATAAGGGCTCGAAGCTTACCTGTTGATTAAAAGGTATTTCCAACAGGTATCTGGCAGGTACCTCATTCATTTGTGCCATAAACATTCCGAAGGCAAATAAATATTAATTATATAATGAGACTGTTTGCTCTCTGTGTGTGTGATCCTTTAATAGTATATTATGTATTACGTTTTATAAATGCCATTTTAGTTACTTTATTAGGGACGAGAGAAGCTTGCGAGCGAGTGTTTAATAAAAACGAGTGTCTAGAGAAGTTTATAGAATTTAAAGCCAATTTTATTTGTTAAACGTTTGACATCTATTTAATGTTAACGGATTTAACCTTACTTTTCCCCAATTTATAAAACTATTTAATACTTTTGTATTGAGATAATATAAATACATTTAGTATTATTTTACAAGAAGGGAACTTTATTTTAACGGTTGTATGACATTTGAAGCTTGCGAGCGAGTGTTAAATAAAAACGGGTGTCTGGAGAAGTTGCATACTATACTATGACGAAGCCAATTTTATTTGTTAAACATTTGACATCTGTCAACGGATTTAACCGTTTTTTTTCCAAATTTATAATAAAGCCAACTTCAGCCCGTGACTAAAATGGCCAGAAGCCACTGTTGCTAACTTCGGCCCGTGACTAAAACGCCATAAAGTTACAGTTGATAAAATCATATATTCGTTTAAAGGGCTTTGGAAATTGTCTTTTTTGGATAAAAACTAGCTTTCCTTGGTTCTGGAAATTTGATATTGCATCTATTAGAACAAACATATGTAAACAATCATATTAACCTTGAGAAATGTATTTTAAACGAAAAACAACTTTTAAATTGTAAACAAAAATTCCTTTGCGTAGTCCTGTGGTGGTACAAATAAAAAAAATCTTGACGACATTTCTTCTAGGATTCATCAGTTTTGCGAAAACGTCGCTCCAAATCGGGTGCGAAACGCACCAAGTGCCATTTAATCGCGATGAAAAGCCGAACAGGCTCTCTGGCATTCCTTCTCCCATGTGTGTGTGTATAAAGACGACCTTCAGCCTTTCTTCTTCTTATTACCTTACCTACCTGATTAGCGCGTTTTTTGCGCAAGCAAATTCCTCCACGTTTGTGCGTTTATATGTCTATTTGCGGTTTTTGCGAGGCTTCCCGGTGGCAGGCCATCTTTGTATGTCACTGATGTAGTAGAGCGGTTTCTTAACGTTGTTTTTCTTAATTTCAGAGTTGGGAACTTCTAGTCTTGAAAACCTTAAAGTGGGACATTTCCGCAGTGACCCCGCAGGCTTTCCTCAAACATATTCTTAGTAGGCTGGCCGTCGAAGAGGTCGGAGTTAGCCTGGAAATGGTTATCAGCCATGCGAAGACGCTTGTCACCTTGTGTGCAAGAGGTAAGTCACGAAAAACCGTAAGGTGGCATGAATTTATGCAAACAACAAGTCTTGGTGCTCCCAACGCGGTTCCTTGAGGAACACCGCAAGTTTAAGAGCCGAATCAATGCGTACAACAAATCGTAGTGGTCCCAACGTGGTTCCTTGCGGAACACCAAACGTTTTTAATGTAATTGTGGGTTTTAAACAACAAAATATGGTTTGTGGTTTTAGAGGCGCTTCAAAATTAGTTTTTAAAGAAAGGAGTCTAGTTAAATTACATATATACAGTATGGTATTGATGCAGTTTTCTATATTCTAGGAAAAAATATCTCTAGACTTAAAAAAAGTAAAATGAAGTATTCAGGATATATTGGGCTATTTTTCATTTTGCTTAAACTGCCAAATTAATGCATACAACAAATCCTAGCGGTCCTAACATGGTTCCTTGGGGAACACCAAACGTTTTAAGCCTATTTGTGGGTTTTAAACATCAAAATATGGTTTGAGGTTTTAGAGGGGCTTCCAAATTGTGTTTATAAAGAAAGGAATCAACTTAAATTAAATATATAAAGTATAGTATTGATGCAATTTTCTATATTCTAGGAAAAAATGTCTTTAGACTTAAAACAACATATTGGGCGATTTTTCGTTTCGTTAATGAGTAACTTTAGCACGGGCCAGTTTAAACGAGCAGCGCTTCAAGGTTTTCAGCCGAATCGGTCACCCATTGCTGGGCCCCACTCTCGTTTTCGCCGCGGGAATTTCTCTCGTCTGCAAGACCGTCTGATGCCTACGAGGTACAGTCGAAAAACACCCGAAAAAATGAGCCGAGCAAGTTTTGCACCATATGGCGCCCGCGGTGGCCACCCTGGACGACGACAGCGTTGCCGGTTGCTCGCGTCGGCAACGCGGCCCGTCTGGAATTCTCGCGGTAGACGTATAAACTTTGTTATGTCGAGGCACTCTCTAAAACGCCATACACCTACCTATGTGCATCGCTCGCATTCCCAAGACGTTTTATAGATTTGCGCTGAGTTATTCTCCTCTTCTTCTTCTACTGCTTCGCGTTATTATTAATTCATTGCGTGCGGCGGAATGCGTGAAAATTTGTCTAGGAGCAGGATTTATGCGGAACGGAGATCTAGGTGGGCCCGATGCTGGTCCTTGGGGAACACCCATCGTTTTGGCTCGATTTGACAGTTTAAATGGTGAAATGGGTTTGAGTCGTGGAGGACTTGTTTTTGATGAGAAAAATATGTGGAGAGAAAAGTGTTTTGAACAGGAAAAGCCGGATGGCATTGTGTAGGTCTGTCAAAGTGCAAACGGTTTCATTCGTTATCGCTGGCGATAATGCTGGCTGTTTGCTTTATCGCTCGGAGAGAGGATGTCGGTAAAGTTTAAACACCCCGAAACTCATTGATCTTCGTGCAAAAACACGCAGCACAACAATAATAATCGTAATGAAGCAGCGAAAAACAATGGGAAACCTTAAACGTTTAGCCCTGAAAAGGCGGCTCTCATTGAATGGCGGGTACTTGTTGTTGTTTGCCGTAGATGACACAAAAACGGCGAAGATATACTTTTAAAGGTACGTACCGAGACCTTGGCGACTCGTGAGAACGTCTCTTTTGAATAAAGTCGTATTTAATCGGCTCGATTAAATCTGCTACCCATCTGTACGCGAAAACAAAAAGAATTCCGCCAAATTATGTTAATAAACACCACGCACCGTCATCTAATCAAGTGACATTGAATGGATGGCCGGCCGTGACTTTAGAAAGAAAGTCACAAGTTTACATAATATTAATTCTATTACACATGCCGAGGCCTCTGTCTCGAATTTTTATTGATGGTCGAGGAAAAATGTTTATCGACTAAATGTGCTAATTTTCGCATATTTAATTCTCTTTTTAAACGCTTAAAAAGTCATTTGAAAACGAACAACGTTAAGAATATTTTATAATATTACTTAAAACACCCTGTATATAAAACTTATAAGTAGATGTTTTTTCATTCAAGTGAGTATTTAGAAACTAAAACCATATTCTAACTTAAATTGTAAAATTAATGTCAAAAAACGTTGGGTGTTCCTCAAGAAGTCCTTTTGGGTCCTACTGGATTTATTCACTACACTGAAAAAAAATATTGTATCAAATAAAAATGGTGGTATATCAATAACAACTTACTTACCTTCAATTTTTTCCCTCACAAAAAAAAGAAACACTGCATGATTAGGTATAAAATTTCAGAGGAACATGTCGGCATCTCCACTCCTACACGATTTTAAAAATATGTATTTTTGGTAAAAGAAAATACTGTTTATTAAAACGAATAAAAAATTTAAGAATATCTAATTCTTAATACACAAAAATTAAACAAATAAATAATTCTTGATATAAAAAAATATTAACAATTGTACCAAGAAACCAACTAAGATATCCTACAAGAATATTTAATATTTGGATTGAAACATGCAACTTTTTAAAACAAGAAATGTTTCTTAATATTAGAATATTTCCAAAACTTCAAAATTCTTTTTTAGTTGAAATATATATTCTTATTTTAAAGCAAGTTGACTTGAATTAAAAAAGATAATAGGTACCTATTCTAAATATAAGAAATCTTTTTTTCAGTGTAGGTATTATGTCAGCCCTTTTGAAACCCTCGTATTTCTAAAAGGTCAAACCCCACAATTTTTCTTCCAAACTGTTTTGACGATGTTATTAAATTGCAAAAAAATCGCTCGGAGGAAGTGGCGTATCAAATATCAGCTCAGCTGCGATAATACACTTTTAAAACAGCGCCACGTTTCTACTCGTCGTACTTATTAATATACATTAGCGGATATCCAGGCGATTTTTTTCGCATTTTTTTTTCTCGAGCGTCGAATATTCGCGCGGCCCCTCCGCTTAAATCGATGTCAACGAACTTGGCCTTGCGAATACATGCGCTACCCAAATCAACAATTCGAACATCAAGAAGAATTAGTTTGTGTGTTGTTTCCGGATTTTAAAGTAATTTATTTATGGTCCTTACTTAATTTTAACTGTCTTTCTTAATAACTAACAAGATTGTTGTTTGTTACAGAATTCGAGTTTTCCATGTACCATCCGAGTATAATAGCATGCGCCAGTATATCGTCTGCATTGTGTGGAGTCGGGTGGCTTGGAAAAAGCCAAAACACGTTAGAAACGCTATTAGACCACTTATATAGGATAACATCTATCGAGAAAGTAAGTGCTACAGAAAACTACTTTTTGACAGGTACTAAATTTCATTTTTTTTCCAGGATTACATCCAGGAATGCCTCAGGAAAATAGACGACATGGTCCGCAGCTCGGCGAGGCAGTTCTACCAAAGTCAAAACAAAGATTTATTAGAATCAGAAGAAACGTTCAGGCCGAACGAGTTTACGCCGCCGCCCAGCAAAATAGAAGAACACAGCGCCACCTTGACGCCAACGGACGTACAAAACGTCCACTTCTAGTGCTGACGTATAGATGGCGCTTGAAGCGTCGCGGATACTTTTAAGGTAAGAGCGCTGTCTGTTTCTTGTTATCTTTGATTTTTATTTTACCGTGAATTTAAGAATTGTCAACAATACATTTAAAGCACAGATTATACATTATTTTTAAATAAATAGGTAGTTTTTTCACAAAAGAGAGGAAGGCAGAAGTCTTACTCGACAAATTTTGTTCAATTGCACAGCTAAATCGCCACGATATTTGTGTTTTACGTTGCAAGGAAAAAATTAAAAAACTTTTTTAGTAGTCGATTTTGATTGATTATTCCTTATATCATTGATTAAGAAACTCAACGCTTAAATGCTTATATAGTTACGTTAGTGTGTGTATTTTATCTGAGGAATCATGGTGAATTATTGTGTTTTTAATTGTAAATAAAATTCAAGAACTAAATCGTTGCGTTTTCATGTTTTGCCAAAGGTTTCAATTCAGTAAGTACATTTGTTGGTGCAGAATTAACTAATGATAACTTTACCTAATATAATTCATATTTAAGTTTGGACATTTTTAAGAAATTAGTAAAAAATAATTTTTGCACAAACATAACCTTAAAATCAACCATTTTTATGTTTGAGTTCTCTAAAAAACGCCGACAACTGCATTTTAAACAACAAAATATACCTACGAATTCATGGCAACATAATATTATATATAAACATAATATGATGGTATTTTACCGTTGAGTGGAGACTTTCTTAATCAACGCTTTTAATAATGCTAAATGCTTTTTAAATTAGACGACTTATTTGTTTGACGATTTTTACTGAATTGAAATGTTTACACTTTTCACGTTAATCACTACTTAAATGTGTATTTATTGTATCTAATAGGTACAATTTATATATACAGAGACAGTATGCAATTTATTTCTTCATTCAGATTAACACTGTTTATTGGAAAACCGGTAAAAACTCAACCCAGGATTTCCTCTCAAAATACACCCAACAACACAACAAATCGAGCCACGTTTTTTTTTCGGTATTTTTTTAACATTTTCCGGCTTTATTCTCAAAAACACTCGTCTGTAACCTAAGCGTTTGAAAATAATAATAATTATAAAAAAATAGTTACTATTTTTTTTCTTTGTTGCAGATGTTCCAAGAATCCTACTTAAAAAAAAAACACACAGTGGTCAGTGGAGTGCTAGTGATAGATAGAGCTTCCAAAAACTATATATACAAATATAAATATATATAGATAGAACTATAAGAAATTTGTACAAAATAGTTATGTGTACCTAATATAAACGACGTGCTTTATTCGACGACGAAAAAAAATACTAAGGAATAAAAAAAAAGAATTTATTGCAGAAATAAATAATTTGTGGGGAAGGCAATAACTTACGCTTTAAGCAGGTTTTACACGATTTTAATGATGAAATAACATCCTAAACTAATTTCTCAAATTGAGGAGTGAATTATATTAATTTAAGAGAGATTAGACTGGTCAAATAATCAGCCATATTACAGCAGAAAATGGTCTCCATAGAAAGCAATAAACCATGCTCTGATTGGCTTACTTCTTTCCATAGAGAGCAAAGTTCACTTTCCTAAAACGCTTTGGATGTGGCTGGTTATGAAATTGTTAAGCTACTTGGTTAGTTCGTGTAACTCTGGTTTTTCTAAACGTACATAAGAATTCATATATTTTTGTACCGTTCTCTGGTGAATGAATGCGGAATACTATTCAAAGCACTTATAGTCATTTGTAAATATATTATATTTCGCAGTTTTTTGTTCCTATACTTGGAGTATTCCAGATAAAATATGTTTTTTTTCGCGACGTCTCCTGTAAATATATCGGGCGTCGCGAAAAATTCGAAGAACTTAAAGACTGTTTGCTCGTGGCGTGGACTTGAGTAATTTTGAAAACTCGTCAGTTTTTGTATTTATTCGAATGTAATAGAATATTTTGTTTAGAAATTATGTATTTTAACAAAAAATCGTTACTTTTTTAGTTGCTTTTATTTGTTTTCTTTTATAGTTATTAATGTTTATAATCGATGTGATTTAAACGTATTTTTATGATGTGATTTTGTTTATTCTAAAATTAGAGGTGATCAAAAAGTGATTTAAAAATTATTACAAAATATTATATTTAGTACCTAAAAATATGCTGCAGCATAAAATTATATGAATAAAAAAAACAAGTTGCTTAATGGTCAACTGTATATAGTAGATTTATTGTAAATATGAAAATATATATCAAAAAAACCACATTACACTGCCATTACATACAAAAAATAAATCAATATGTCCATAGTTGAAAAACTTGTCCAAATACCTCATAATCAGTTCCATTTTACTAGCCAATAGATTTAAGTATATTGTATATTTTTATACATATTAATCTTTTATGCTTATTTGTAAATACCAATATTAAAAAATGTTTTTATAATGCAACAAATTGTTTCAATTCTATATTCCTTTACAACCTTAAAGAAAAAAATAAGCAAAAAATCTACAAAATAGAATTATGCCTAAAGGCTATCCCACAAGAACAGTACATTTTTCAAAAATAAAAAGTACCTATTCTGTGTATTTTATTCCAATACAAATTTTATGAAAATCCTTTAAAAATTGTGAATGCACCGGGGTTAATTTTAACTGAATTTTGAATTTTTGGGTGTTATCTAAATTATTGGTTTTTAAACCTACCATTTTTATGACAAACAAATACATAACTTGCTAATAATTATTATAAATTATTATTAATTAATATAAATTATAATAGACATGCAACAAACAATACAGTTTGTTTTATTTATTCGAAATTTGGGGGTTTAATTGGCAAATTCTATGTTAAATGTACCTATTTGATCAAATATTAGTTGTTAAGCAATGAAATAATTTTTTCTTTGATGAAATAGCGTATTCCAGAGTATTTTTGGATAATTTTATTTGGTTTGTCCTTTCACAAAGGAATGCAGAAATTTATATGAAATAATAAGAAAATAATACATTTCTGTAGACACTTAAATTTTGTCCAAAAGTAACGAAACGTTAATACATACTTGTATTTTTCTGGTTAATGTTTTCCTCTGTGGCATCGGGAATTATTTCATCAAAAAGCTGTTTTGTGTTTAAAATTTCTTTTCGTTTAGTATTTTTTGTTACCTTTGGCGTTGTTTATTATAGTTCTGTCAATTATATGTCAAAATATTTAAAATTATGGCCTTGGACAGGAGTACCATTTTTAAATATAAAAAATACCAAAGTATATTGACATACAGTACCAACCTAATTAAAAGTCTTAAATTCCGAATAAAAAAACAAACTGTTTATACATATTACATTATTAATTATCATAGAAAAACCTATGTTAATTATTAAAATACTGAATTCCTTTTGACATAAGGTGTTGTTGCCGGTTGTAAAAATTTTTCTTGTTAAAAATAAATAAAAACTCAATTTAATACAAAAGTTAGCAATGATTAGAAAATTTAGTACCTATTTTAAAAACTCCATAAACACAAAATTAATTTTTTCATCGGTTTTTTTCTTTCTTCTTACTCAATTTGTGTAAATAAATCCAAAAGCACTTCCCTTTGTTAAGATATTTACAATTTGAGCACATAACCTAAAATTTGAAAGAAATGCACTAGATTGTGTCATAAAAGTTGCCAGATTTTGTTTGAATTTACCTTCATTAAAAAAATGACATAATAAACAATTAATAAAAACGCCAAGCTGTTACCAACCATAACATAATAAATTAAATTAGGCAACCAGATTAGCCTAAAGTTCCTAGTCGATCAGTGGCGTCCAATAATTTTGCGAATTCGAAAAAATAGTGAAAAAAATCGTCTTCTAATTTCAAGAGAAATTTATCTTTCCTCCGCCAATTTTGGGACACCCTTTACACGCAATTTTAATAATTCAAATGCATTTTCTATTTCTTGTAATGTCGTTGGTAGAATTCTTCTTCTTCCGCAAAGAAACATAAAAGGCGCACGCGCACCAAATGTTTTCAAAAACCGGAGTGAAAACATTATCCGCATTTTTGACGCGAACTTTGACAATGTCAAGCCTGGAAACCGCGAAAAAAATCGCTGCCCGCAAGGCAGTTGACAATCACGTCTCCAACGGAAACATAGTCGGCGTGGGAAGCGGCTCCACGATCGTGTACGCCGTGGAAAGGCTGTCGGAACGCGTAAAACAAGAGAACCTCGACGTCGTTTGCGTGCCAACTTCGTTCCAAGCGAGACAGTTGATCCTCAGCAACAAATTGAAGTTATCCGATCTAGACACCCATCCGGAGATCGATGTAACAATCGACGGCGCCGACGAGGTGGATTCTAACCTCAATCTGATAAAAGGTGGAGGTGGCTGTTTATTGCAGGAAAAAATTGTTGCGTCCTGCTCAAAATCCATGGTTGTGATTGCGGATTACACGAAGAATTCGCAGTGTTTGGGCGAGCAATACAAAAAAGGCATTCCCATTGAAGTGTCGCCTTTAGGTTACGTACCGATTAAAAATAAGATCGAAAAGAAGTATGGAGGTTCAGTTAGCTTGAGAATGGCTGTGAAAAAAGCCGGGCCTGTCATCACAGACAATGGCAACTTTATTTTGGACTGGGTTGATTATAAATCCACTTTTGATTGGCCGAATGTTAACTTGGACATAATCCAAATTCCTGGGGTTGTGGAAACAGGGTTATTCATAGGAATTGCTTCAAAAGCTTACTTTGGAATGTCCGATGGTTCAGTGAAAGAACAAATCACATCCTAACATATATTTTTAACAATAAGTACGCTCAAAACACATAAGACTAAAATATACGTTAATCTATAATAAATATGTACAAAAATCAATTTTCTTTGATTAAACAAAAACAAATAGTATAAAAAATACAGTATATAAATATGTATACATGAAAACACACAATGGTGATATGATAGTGGTGCAACTTAATACAAACTGGTTTTTTTCATGATCCTCAAAAATTCCTCCTGATTAATTTCCCCATCCCCATCTCTATCAGCTTCATCAATCATCTCTTGAAGTTCATCACTGGTTAGAGTCTCCCCCAATTCTTGTGCAACACGTTTTAAATCCCTCATCGTGATCGCACCTTTATCATCTTCATCAAATAATCTGAAAGCCTTCAAAATCTCCTCCTTAGTGTCTTTTTCCGCCATCTTCGTGGACATTAACTGAAGAAAATCATCGTAACTTATTTTACCCGATGAATTTTTGTCGACATCTGCAATCATTTTTTTTATTTCCTCCTTCTTTGGTTCAAAACCCAACGCCCTAATGGCTACTTTAAGGTCTTTTGTATCGATTTCGCCGGATTTTTCCGTGTCAAACAAATCGAATGCCTCTTTAATATCGTTTTTTTGCTCGGCACTGAGCTCGAATTTTGGACCAGACTTCTTTCTCGACGGCAAAATTGACGGTTTTTGGGCCTAAAGTTACAATATTATTTTCGTTATTTAATTGAAATATTTACTTACCATTTTTGAGTTTCTTGTTAAGTTGTTTGATCAATAGTTATCAACAAAAAAGCGCGATATGTAGTTGAATTATTGACAGCTGTCAGAACACAACTCTGTCAAAATTACATCAGAACGCCAACATTAAAACTTGAATATCACCACGATAAAATGTTGATAAATAACGTATATTAAACCAAATATTTTTATTTAAAACTATATAATATTGCAATATATAGAAAAATATCTATTATTGTTACACAAAATATTAAAGTTGGAGGTGATTTTTCACCAAAATATCTTAAATATCGTTTGAATATGTCAGCAACATAAGAAGTAAAATTCCCTGTTAAAATTCGCGCCGCCAGTAATGATTGGGCTGCCATTGGAGCGGTTGTTCGTTTTCTGAGCTTTGTGTTGTTAAAATCGTTGTGTTCGCGTTAAAATCGTACAAAATCCAGTGAAAAATGTCGAACCCGGAGGAGAAAACCGAGGCCGGTGAACCCGAGGACAATTCAGTGAGTAAAAACCGCCGAATAACCTCAAAAACGTGTTTGTTGTTTTTGTGTTTGTTTGATGGATGTTAACGCTGCTTGTTGTTTAATTGTAGAATGAGTCGACGTCCGATACTTTGTCAAAAGGGGAGGAATTCGAGGCGAAGTTGGAGACAGATCGCAGCAAAAGATTCGACTTTTTGCTTAAACAAACCGAGATTTTTTCGCATTTCATGAACCAGTCTAAAAATGCCAACAAACCGAAAACGGGCCGTCCCAAGAAAGAAAAGAAGGAGGATGTTGCCGAGTAAGTGTTAATGCTCAGTTTTTATTGTGAAATTATCGATAATTTGGGAAATAGAAGTGAGGTTATGATCATGATTTTTTCAGCCACAGGCACCGTAAAACGGAGCAGGAAGAAGACGAGGAGCTCCTCGCCGAAACCAACACGAAAGTAAAACCGACGATACGTTTCGACGCGTCGCCGATTTTCATAAAAAACGGGGAACTTCGAGACTATCAAGTGCGGGGTTTGAATTGGATGATATCGCTGTACGAGAACGGAATTAATGGCATTTTGGCCGATGAGATGGGTCTCGGGAAAACTCTGCAAACCATTACGCTGCTCGGGTTTATGAAGCATTACAAGAACATCAACGGGCCTCATATTGTCATTGTGCCAAAGTCAACTCTGGCCAATTGGATGAACGAGTTTAAAAAGTGGTGTCCTTCACTAAGGGCTGTGTGTTTGATTGGTGACCAAGAAGCTAGGGTAAGTACCATTATTTGTTTCTTTATTTTTCTTAAATTTAAACTTTGTATACATCTTTATTTTTGTATTTTTTAAACAATCAAAACTTGATTTTAAATTTTGGGGATTCCCCAACCGCTAAAAAAGTCGTAAAAAGAAGGTAGTGAAAATACATGAATTTTTCTTATTAATAGTATTTGTTTTAAATGTTGTTTTTTCAATAAAATCTTTGTGGAATTAAAAAAAAAACATAAAACACTTAGTTATTAGTTGGATTTAAAAAAACAGTTTAAAAAAATAGCCCTGGTTTGTTTCATACAAATTATAGTAAAAGTTTAGTTGATTTTATTTAAAAGGGCTAATTAAAAATTTCATGTTTATTTTCTTAAAAGCATTTTCGCAAAAATGTGTAAAATATGCGATATTTTTTTTCTTTAACTGTGTTTTAACACTTAAAAATGTTACAAACACAATTGGGTATGTCAAAAACTCTTTTTAGAAGCTTACAAAGTAGAGTTACAAGACAATGATACCAGAAATGATAAGAATATTTTTTTTACAAAAGTTGTAGTTCTCAAAAGTATCATAAAAATTGTAAATATCAAAATACATAAAGTTTTGCCTATTACAATAATTCTTATATGTAACTATGTTCAAAATTTAAAACTTTTTTTCGACAAATCGTTATTTTAAACGAAATAAAACGATTTCAAACTTCCAGCCAGTTGGGAAAAATTAACTATGGTTTCGCGTAAAAATCGAACAAATTTTGGACATTTGTTTGCAAGTGATGCCAGAATTGAATATAATTTTTTAACCCTGTTTCTACATCTAAATGGTGCATTTTTTTCAAAAAAAAATTTTTATCCATTGACCGCCGTGGGTTTTAGGCCTTAAGTCACTCTACTGTGTTAAAAATAGATAAATTTTGATATTTTGTAATAACATTTTTATTTAAAAACGTATCGATTTAAAATTTAGATAAAATGTAGACCTTATTAGTGGCAATAAATCCACGTATAATTTTTTTTAGATTTTACCATACAGGGGGCGCTGGGGACAATTTAATTTAAAATTTTACCATTTTTTAAGGCTTAAAAAGTCGAAGAAGCAACGTTGTTTTATAATTTTGAGTATATCACGTGAAAGTACTGATAATTAACTATTATTTGATATATAAACTTTAATATGCAAATTATGTTTCTACGAGATACACCATTTTTAAGTTAGGCCTTCAAAGGGCATAATACTAACGTGTTTTACAAAGTATATATTCTTTTATCTAGTTTTATAAGATTATGTATTGTATATTACATATTATACATTATATATTACATATAATATATTATATATAACATACAATCCTTACATATTTATTTTAAAAAGTCGCCATAGATGGAGCTAAAATTACTTTTATTTATAAATTTTAAATTTTTTCAACTTTACTAATTTTGATCATAGTATGCATCATAGACTTTTCTCTATGGTAACCTACAATTATAGCATGAAATATAATTTGACAGTTCAGTTTATAATCTTTCGATTGGTATTATAATAACTGTTTCCCAAAGTTAAAATTTCAGAGACATTTAACAATTTCTAATATTTTTAATACTTACTATTTTGTATCAACAAACCTGTGAAATTATACATGTGGGTTAATGTGATAGTATTCATGGTTACCACCAAATCCATTGTTTAAAATTAATTAAAATATTTGATTGAAAAATTAGTAACTCGAGAAATATTGACTTTAGGAATAGGATATCGTATAGCCATTTTATTCAGAATTTTATGTAGAAATAAAAAATGTAATGTAATAACAAAGTTAAAGACATTTCCGGTAAAACAGGAAGTACTATTTTGTTCAAAATAATTTAGAAAAATAGACTTAAATGGATTATAAACTCTTTTAAAATTTCAAATAGATATTTTTTCCCGTTCCCTAGAAACTTATAATGGACCACGAATGTGGAACACCCTGTATATAATATAATTACGTATATTAGTGGCACACTTAAGTCTAAATCGAATAATTTACGCTATTAAAATTTTAAATCGATGACTTTCGCGATTCCCCAGAAACTTCTAACGGACTACTTACGTGAAACACCCTGTATATTAAACGTCATTTATAAATATATGTGTTATGCTATAGTTAATTATTAGTAAAAGATACAACAATATTAGTATACAAATGACAAAATGTACCAAACTAAACATTTATGAATACTGCTACTGCTAATTCAAAACTCATCCTGGCCACAGAAACATCATTTGCATAAAAAAGTTAATATATCAAATAATAGTCAAATATCAATACTTTAACGTGTTATACTCAAATTTATAAAACTATGTTGCTTCTTCGATTATTTACCCTTTAAAAATTGTTAAATTTTAAATTAAATTGTCACCAGCGCCCCCTGTACGTTACAATCTAAACAAAATTTTTAAATGGAAAAATTGTCATTAGTAAGATCTACATTTTGTCCAAATTTCAAATCGATACGTTTTGAAATAAAAAAGTTATTTACAAAAAATAAAATGTCTTCATTTTTAACACAATGAAGGAAAAAATAAATATAAAAACAAAGTTGTCAATGGAGGAGATTTTTTTTTTGAAAAAAGTACTGCATTTTATGTAGAAATATGGTAAAAAAGTTTCAATCGATTTCTTGAACCCTTGCAAATCGACCGTTCGATCCTTTCGCGAAACCGTAGTTAATCTTTTGTTATAAACTACATGGTGTAATTAATGTAATATATTAAAATGGGTAGTTCCTTCTAAATTCTAAAGACTGAAAATAATTTATAAATACTTTTATCCTACAAAAAAGTACGCCACTGATTAAATAGAAAATTTAGGCTAATCTGGTTGCCTAATTTAATTTATTATGTTATGGTTGGCAACAACCAGCATTTCCAGATTCTGTCAAAAAATTTGAAATGACAAAATCAACAACGAAAATTATTATGTTGATGTCATTTTTGTAATGAAGGTAAATTCAAACAAAATCTGGCAACTTTTAGGACAGAATCTAGTGCATTTATTTCAAATTTTAGGTTATGTGCTCTAATTGTAAATATCTTAACTGTCTTAAATGTCTTAAATGTTTAAAGTTTAACCTGTAAACTTTTCCTAATTTCATCTGAGTAAACATAAAGAAAAAAGTTTTTATTTATTTTTTGCAAGAAAAATTTTAAGTAACAATTTTTTACAACTGGCAACGCGCAGCTGCAGAACACAAGTGTGTAACCAGTGGCGTATCACAAAAAATATAAAAAACTTCTAATACATATGTCAAAAGGTATTCAGTATTTTAATATATTACATTAATTATATGTATAACACCCTGTAGAAGCGTTTTAATTACCAGGCATAGTTTATAGTATTGAATTTTAGTATTTAAAATATTATTCTGATGAAAAATTCACCACATTTCGGTAAATCACCGAAAAAATCATTTGTTTTTATACGTCATTTTTTTTTATTTTGTATTTTACGAGCTCGCTCATGTGATATCCAAAAAATAAAAATAAATAATCAATTTTTAAGTATCCTATTTTAAAATACATAATCTATGGGAAATAACATTTTTGCACAAGTGTTATTTTTCATAGATTCTTTTAAAAATTCGATTTTAAACTGTAGTAACCAAAGAGGATTGTTATTTCAAATTTCGTGCTGCCAACTTAAGAAACACAAAATTGTGACAGTTTTAAACCTTAATTTTGCCATTATAACAATATAAATTTACAATTTATATTGTTACTTATATACTGTTGTCACTTTAATTTGTCAATTAAAATACAACGTTTTATTTTTATTACATTGGCACCGCTGAATTTGCTGTCACGACCTACTGTGTAATTAATTGGTTATTGGGATGGTTACTTTCTTTTCGCATAGATGTCGCTTTTTACAAATATTAATTTTTTGTTAAGTAATTTTAGATAAAAAAAAAGTATGCAACTTGTTTATGAACTATTATAGACAGTCATTTAATTAAATTAGATTAAATTTGCGACTAAAATGGCGTTTATCAAACTTGATACGTAATATCCTATATCTCATTGTAAAACTTATCCGAACCGTTGAATCCGCCAAACTGACCACAAAATCATTTTCCTCTGGTTGCAGAGCACGTTTATTCGCGACGTGATGATGCCGGGCGACTGGGACGTGTGCATCACCTCCTACGAGATGTGCATCAAGGAAAAATCGGTTTTCAAAAAGTTCAACTGGCGCTACATGGTCATCGACGAAGCTCACCGCATCAAAAACGAAAAGTCCAAACTGTCAGAGATCTTGCGCGAGTTCAAAACGTCCAACCGCCTGCTTCTCACCGGTACGCCCCTGCAAAACAACCTGCACGAGTTGTGGGCTCTTTTAAATTTCTTGCTGCCGGATGTGTTTAATTCCGCTGACGATTTCGACGAGTGGTTCAACACCAATCAGTGTTTGGGCGATAATCAGTTAGTGGAGAGGTTGCATGCGGTATTAAAACCTTTTTTGCTTAGACGTCTTAAGTCTGAAGTGGAGAAACGGTTGAAACCCAAGAAAGAGGTTAAAGTGTACGTGGGTTTGAGTAAGATGCAGAGGGATTGGTATACGAAGGTTTTGATGAAGGATATCGATATCGTTAACGGGGCCGGTAAGGTGGAAAAGATGCGGCTGCAAAACATCCTCATGCAGCTTAGAAAGTGCACCAATCACCCTTATCTGTTCGATGGAGCGGAACCAGGACCACCATACACAACGGATCAACACTTGGTGTACAACTGCGGCAAAATGGTGATTTTGGATAAGCTCCTCCCCAAACTGCAAGAGCAGGAATCCAGGGTTCTCATCTTCTCCCAGATGACGCGTATGCTGGATATTTTAGAGGATTACTGCCACTGGAAGCAGTTCCAGTACTGCCGACTGGACGGACAGACCCCGCACGAAGACCGTCAACGGCAAATCAACGAGTACAACGAAGATAACAGCAAGAAGTTTATTTTTATGTTGTCTACGCGCGCCGGCGGGTTGGGTATTAATTTGGCCACCGCCGACGTCGTCATCATCTACGACTCCGATTGGAACCCGCAGATGGATCTGCAAGCCATGGACAGAGCGCACAGAATCGGCCAGAAGAAGCAGGTGCGCGTTTTCCGGTTCATAACGGAAAACACCGTGGAGGAAAAAATCGTTGAGCGCGCTGAAGTTAAGCTGCGTTTGGATAAGCTCGTCATTCAGCAGGGAAGACTTGTGGACTCGAAACAGCAAGCCTTAAACAAGGACGAGATGCTGAACATGATCCGTCACGGTGCTAACCACGTTTTTGCCTCGAAAGATTCGGAAATCACCGATGATGATATAGATACGATTCTTGAAAGGGGCGAGGCGAAAACCGCGGAGTTAACGAAGAAATACGAAGCGTTGGGAGAGAGTACGCTAAGGAATTTCACCGTGGACGCCCCCACGCAGTCCGTTTATAAATTCGAGGGGGAAGATTACAGGGAGAAGCAGAAAACGATGGGGTTGAGTTCGTGGATTGAGCCTCCTAAACGCGAGCGCAAAGCCAACTACGCCGTCGATGCCTACTTCAGAGAGGCTTTGAGGGTTTCGGAACCCAAAGCGCCCAAAATCAACGCGCCCAGACCGCCCAAGCAGCCCATCGTGCAAGATTTTCAGTTCTTCCCGCCTAGGTTGTTCGAGTTGCTCGATCAGGAGATTTACTACTACAGGAAGTCGTTGGGCTATAAGGTTCCGAAGAACCCCGAGCTGGGGCCCGAAGCGTCGAAACAACAGAAGGAAGAGCAACGCAAAATCGACGAATCCGAGCAGTTGACGGAAGAGGAGCAAACCGAGAAGGAGAGTTTGTTAACGCAGGGTTTTACTAATTGGAGCAAACGGGATTTCAATCAGTTCATCAAGGCGAACGAGAAGTACGGGAGGGACGATATCGAGAACATTGCGCGCGAAGTGGAGGGAAAAACGCCGGAAGAAGTGATGGAGTATTCCGCCGTGTTCTGGGAGAGATGCCATGAATTGCAGGACATCGACCGCATCATGGCGCAGATAGAGCGCGGGGAGGCGAAGATACAGCGGCGCGCGAGCATAAAGCGCGCCTTGGACGCCAAGATGGCGCGCTACAGAGCCCCCTTTCACCAGCTGCGCATCGCGTACGGCACCAACAAGGGGAAAAACTACATGGAAGACGAGGATCGCTTCCTCGTCTGCATGCTTCACAAGCTGGGCTTCGATCGCGAGAACGTCTACGAGGAACTTCGCGCCGCCGTTCGCGCTTCGCCTCAGTTCCGCTTCGATTGGTTTTTAAAGTCGCGCACCGCCATGGAACTCCAGCGACGCTGCAACACGCTCATCACTCTGATCGAGCGCGAGAACGCCGAACTAGAGGAGAAGGAGCGCACCGAGAAGAAGAAGAAGAACCCTAAATCCGGCAACGCCGCCGGCACCCCCACTCAGCAGCAACACAAGAGTTCGCACAAGAGGAAACACGACGGTTCCGGTGCGGCGGACAAAAAGAAGAAGAAGAAGAAAGAAGTTGCATCCTTTTGAAAGTCCACCAAGTGAAGTTTAGTATTATGTTTAATTAATTGTTCTGTCCAGTGATCCTATTTATACTTTTTTAATAATTGATATTTTCCTGCCGCACACGAATCTTCATGTTTAAGATTGTAGATGTTCCCTTATAAAGACAAGTATAAAGTTTTAGTTTCATTCTTTAAAGTTCTACAAAAAAATACATTTTTTTCGCATTATCCTGAGGGGTCACCCACACCTGGGAATCCCTGGACATTTTAGAGGGGGAATACCATAGGAATACAATGGAAATACATAGGAATACAATAAAATATAATGGGAATCCCTGGACGTTTTCCCTTTGGGTGGTTGACCCCTCGCATTATCCTTTAAATGTAATGAAAAAAATGCAAAAGGAAATTTAAAATCCAAAAAACATTATTATAGGATTTTTTATTTATTTAGATAAAACAATAAATTAACTAACAACAATATCACTCTTCCTCTTCGTAATCTTCATTTTCTTGTATCTCTTCGTTTTCCCCTTTTTCATCATCTACCTCCCTTACGTTTCCATCAATTTTAACATTTCCCACATACTCCCTTTCGTATTCATCTATTGCTTTTGGATTTTCTTCTTTTAGTTCTTCATTGACTTCATAGTCTGCTTCTATAACAGGTTTCGGCGCTTCTTCCTGTATTTCTTCATTAACTTCTTCATCGTCTGCTTTCGGCGTTTCTTCCTGTATTTCTTCATTAACTTCTTCATCGTCTGCTTTCGGCGTTTCTTCCTGTATTTCTTCATTTTCTGGATACTCTTCATCTTTTATTTCTTCCTTTTCCGCGTAATCCAAATTGTCTTCCACCAAATCGGCCCCATCTTCGAAATTTTCCAATTTTTCTTCAATTTCTTCGTCTTGGTTACGTTCTTCTTTTATGGCTATCGCTGGTGTGATTTCTTCAATTTTGATTTTTTGCAGCTCTGGATATTGTAATTTTGGGCTTTCTTCATCGTAATCTTCATATTCTTCACTTGGTTTTGTGTTTTCATCTTTGACAATGATTTTGCTGTTCTCTTCTTCTGGGGCTTCCAAAACGGGTTGATGGTCTTCGATTTCTTCATCTTCCTGGTATTGTTCGTTTTGTTCATCCAAAATCGGATGACTTTCTTTAATATTTTCGTGTTTTTCTTCATATAATACCGGTTCTTCTTGTACCTTGTACTTTTCACTCTTCACCTCTGGTTGTTCCACTTTTAAATTCTGCTTCTTGCCTCCTCCGCCTGTGCCCTTTTTGTAGACCCATTTCTTCCCGGCATGTTTATCACCTTTTTTACCATATTTACTACCATGATGGTAGTGTTGGTCATGCCCGGCGGCCTTTTTATGGCCCTTGTTGTCTGAATAATGGCCACCTCCTTCCTTGTGACCTTTCTTCCCGTAGTGATCTTCATGTTCTCCGCCGTGTTTGTGATGTTTCTTCACATGTCCGCCCTAAAATATTAATAAATAGTATTAGTGGGAATTAAAATGTACCCATATTGTTACCTTTTTATAATCGTGTTCTTCATGGAATCCACCATGTGTTTCTGTTTCGCCTTCATCGTGATCTTCATCGAAGAACACTTGTTTTTTCTCGTACTCTTCCTTTTTGTGTATGTTGTGCTCCCCTTTGGTGCTATGCCCTTTTTTATGCTCCCCGGATTCACTGTACTAACACAAAAAATTACTATTGAGTTACATCACCAAAAAAATACAAACCTTGTGTTCTTTCTCGCCCTTTTCGCCGTGGTGATGATCACCAAAATACCCATCTTCATGGTGATGTTCTTTCTTCTTCCCGCCTTTATCTTCGTAATGCTTTTTGTGTGCTTCTTTATCATGGTGACCCTTTTCCGATTTTACGTGGTGATGATGACCTTTGTAGCCTTTGTCGCCTTGTTCACCGTGACCCGAATGGTGATGCGCTTGGTGACTTTTCCCGCCACCTTTGCTGTGCTTCTCCTTGTGCGGCTTTTTGTGTTTTGGGGCCTTCACTTCTTCCGATTTTATGTTCTGATGATCTTGAGGTTCTTCCTTTATTTCTTCACTTTCTTGGGCGATTTCTTCATTTTCCTGAGCTATTTCTTCATTTTCCTGGGCTATTTCTTCATTTTCTTGCCTTAAATCCTGTTTTTCCTCCTGTGGACTGTCTTCTTCATTTTCTTGCCTTAAATCCTGTTGTTCTTCCCGTGGACTGTCTTCTTCATTCACCTCTTCAACATCTTCATGAACTTCACGTTTTTCAGGATAAACTATAGTTTCACTGTTAAAATTATCCTTATTTTCGGTGGGAACATTAAACTCGAACGCGATAGGCTGTCTCAAATATTTCTCAACTTTTTGACTTGCTTCCCTGTTTGGATCCAAACTGAAGGGTCGCGGTTGCGCAGCTTCGCTGAATAAATCAGCTGCGTTTTTCAAAACACCGCCATAGCAATTGTTGATTAAAACTGTAAAAACTAGCAGCTTTGAGCTGCTTAAACCTATTTTAACCATCACAGCACGGTTTGATTGTTTAGCTTAGACAAAAGCAGAAAAGTGTGAATTTTGATTTTTATAGTTTGGTTTTGTGTTGGGAAAACCATTGGCGTAACAAATTAAATTGGTTTTAATGTAAGGAAGTAAAAAAGTTAATAGAATAAGGTAAGTGTAAAAAAGCATATTAATATTTGTATTAAACCGAATAATTTTAAGATATTGTTTCAAAACGTGGTATTTGGAGCTCAGATTTGTTAATAATTGGACGACACTGTCCTTTTTAATCGCTTTAAATGAAAGACCGTGATCAATTTGCTGAAATAATCAATTAACTTAATTTTATTGTGTACTTTCTATTAAAACATCGGTAAATCGCAAAAATATTTCCGTTTCATTGCTTTCACTATTTATTGGTATTACATGACAATTTCACACTATTATAAAACGAATTCCGCCTCAATGATCACAGAATTAGTAAACAAACTTATTTTGCAATATAAAAATATCGTTCGTATCCCTAAATGGCAACCATGTTCGATAAAACATTTGGAAACTTTCCCTGCGCGTGCGCACAGCAATATATGTCAAACGGGTGACAAACATGTTTACATCGAGTTTAATTTACGCGATACGCAAATGAAATTTATTAAATAATACGTTGTAATCAAGATATGTTTATTTAGAACGTAAAAATACGTTTATAAATTACAATACAATGGATCACTTGGCACAAGATTTATCGGTGGCCCTGGAAGAGAGCGAATCTTGTGGGCCAATGAATATCGAGAATTTCGGAAAAAGTGGCATGAGGAGGCGCACTAGATCTGCTGGGAATTTGCGTAAATATTCAACAAGATTTTGTGGCTCGTTTTTAAGATAAATTAAAGTGTTTTTAGATTTGTATGTAAATAAAAATGGTGACCATCATAGCAATGAAAGTAGCAGCAGCAATTCAGAGTCCAGGGTGAAAGATATGCATACGAAAATATCGAGTTTTCATCAAAGCGATTCAGATGAAATGTCGTTTAATTTGTCCATGGCTAGGGTGATAAATCAAAGGACTTCTTTGAGAATGAAGCATCCGATTAACAACTTTCTAAAAGGTTTGTATACAAAGCATTTAGTATATCATAATAACTTTATTGGTGTTTAGGAGTTAGTCATAGCTTGGAAAGTGACTCATTGAACGAGCATTCTCCTGCAAGGCCGAACTTGCGCAGGAAACGCAAACTAAAACGGATGAGCATCGACGAAACCCCAATCCCTCCGTGCGGCAAAAGAAAGCGCTCGCAGAGACTCGAAATAGCGGACAACAAGGGGCTGAGGCACAGCCCCAAAATAAGACCGTTGCACCAGAGTATCGTGGACAAAATCGAAAAGTTCTGCCATCCGAATCCCGACGAAACGAACAAGATGGAGATTGTCGATGATAACTGTGAGGTTGCCAGTGAGAGCAGTATAAGTTGGAGTGGGGGTGAGGGGCACGAGGGGGACGACGAGTTGACAGATTGGGCCCCCACAATGGACAATGCCAGCGTTAATGAGCCTCTGCCGTGGAACGAGACAGATCCCAGAGAGATTAGAGCAGGTTAGTGAAAATGTGAAAGATTTGCCATTGTTATTATTTTATCCACTGCTAAATTTACTTAATACAAAAAGTGAGGTTAAAGATGTTGAAAGATGTCAGATTCAGACAAAGTTAGGTTATAACCCGTCTGACAGATGACAGTTAAATGTGAGGTTAAAACCTCTTAACAGGTGTCAGATAAAATGTCAAAGTTCTAATTAATAAATATAAAACAATAATTTTATATTTATTCATAGTTATTTTTTAAAATTGCTTATTTCATTTTAAAATTTGAAATACAATCAGGTATACTTTATTTTGACAGTTAAATAGTATATATATTAAAGAACTAAAGTCATAAGACGTCATTTTGTCCGCGTGCGACAAAATGACGTCTTATGACATTGGTTCTTCATGCTATTTTATCTATTTTGCAAAAATTCCATAAAAAAAATAATTTTAAACCTTAAACTTAATTTGGTCGAATTTTACTTTAGATAGTTGGTATCACAGTCATTGGTTTGACAGTTAATATCAAAATCGATTCGCCATGCCGTCCTTAATTTACTTATTAACAATAAGCGGCTGTAAATGATAAAGAAGAAAAAAAGAATTTTCTTTGGTGTTAACAAAATTTATTGCCAGAAGAGTCTCGTAAGTACTAGAAAAAGCATAAAAATATTATAACCAATATGCAAAATATTATGCTGTTTAAAGTATAGCCAACCTATAAAATCAAAATTTTGGGTGGGATAAAGTATCTCATTACAGCACCGAAAGCGGTGTTATAATGAAGTCATTATGAACGCAAAATAGATGAAAGCTATTTTTGTTAGTTTTTTTAAATATTTGTTTGCTATTTAAATCACTTGTTTTAATTTTTTAACCAATTGATTTTATGTTCAAGAATATTAAAGCAGAATTGATTATATTGGTACTGTATATCAATATACTAATATGGTATTTTTAATTTTTCCATTTGGTATTGTTGGAATTGTAATAAACAATATTGTTGGCGTTTGCCAAAGATAACAGAAAATTCCAACCCAAAAGAGATTCTAAAAACAAAACAGCATTTTGATAAAATAATCAATTTGTTTTGCATAAATTCACTAAATTATTTTGTTTTACCCAATATAGCCAATTATAAATTTAGGGTCCCTAATAAACAAACTGTTGAAACATTTTGTTTTTTATTGCATTATATTTTAGGTAAAATAATGAATTGTTGCTAAGATTACATCTACTTTGGTTATTCAGTTTATAAACATTACACAGAACTTATGATGTATCAAATGCTATTTCTTGGTGTTTGCGTTTGCATGTTAAAATACAAACTTTAATTAGACCACACCACATTATGTAAAACTTAAAAAAATCATAAAAACCAATTTTTGATTTTTTTGTTTTTTAATAATTTCTAGCAAAAATCTTGTATAATTTTTAAAACCTCAATTGTTTTAATTAACTACTTATTTAATTTTTAAGATTTAAACCTTAATTTTGACCTTGAAAGGCTATTTTTGTGGGTTAATTTTTTATTTTTGTCCATATGAAGGTGATCTATCAAATTAAAGCAATTTTTTCTGCTTTCTCAATATACTTTTGTATTTTTAATATCTAAAATTGGTACTCCTGTTTAATGCCTTAATTTTACTTTGACATTTATCAATTAATTGTTAGAATTTTAATAAACAATGCCAAAGATAACAAAAAGTTCCAAACCAAAAGAAATTTTAAAAACAAAACAGCATTTTGATTTATTTTGCATAAATTCACTAAATTATTTTGTTTTACTCATTGTAGCCAATTATAAATTTAGGGTCCCTAGAATTCGACAAATAAACAACGAAATTTTCGACGTTGTCTATTTTCGAATAAAAAAACATACTGTTGGAACTTTTTGTTTTTTATTAGGTAATTAGTAATTGCTTCTAAGATTACTTCTAACTTATAATGTATCAAAATAGGAAAATGCCATTTCTTAGTGTTTGCGTTTGCATGTAAAAAATACAAACTTTAAATAGACCACACTACATTATTTAAAACTTAAAAAAATCATAAAAACAATTTTTAATTTTTTGATTTTTTTGTTTTTTAATGATTTCTAGCAATATTATTTTATAATTCTTAGTACCTCAATGGGGTTTTTCAATTTTTTCTGACCTATACTTTTTATGGTTTTATTCAAGGCGTTTTGTAATATTAAACATTTCTGTGAAATCAGAATTTCAATTGAGTTTACCGTTTTCGAGATATTTACAAAAAATATAAATTTTTATGACGTCACAAACCTCGCCATGTGACCAACATTCTAAGATTTCTATTGGTTGAAAATTACCCTGTTGTCAAGTTGTCTTGTTAATGATTTCATTCGGTTATGTCAGAAAATACCCGAAGAGGTTATGTACAAATACTGTCACTGTCAGTTGAGTGAACGATGGTCACCAATTCATTAAGTACCTATCTTTCTTATTACGAGGTATTTTATTACTGTTTGATATTTTAGAGTCCAAGATATATCTAAAAGAATATAAAGAACTAGGCATTATACTAATGAAATGCATTTACGACAAAATATGATTATAATTATAGGTACTTACTTTATTTGTTTAAAAGCTCCAATGTTCAATGTAACCAACCATTCCACAAGATTCCTCTGCTTTGGAGTCCGTGATTAATAAATCACTTATCTAATATCAATTACAAATAACATAACAATAACATTGATTTTCAATAATCTAAATTAAAAAAAAAAACAACCCGAAAAAAAGAAACGTCACCGTCTCAACTAAAATTATAGATCAAGTGGTTTTAAAACTAAAATATTATAACGTGGCGCCATCTATCGTAAGAATCTTAAACTAAACACACTGGCAACCATAGAAAAAGCTGGCAACGTTGTCAATAGCCTAGTGACGTAATTAGGAGATTTTTTTTTGTAAATATCTCGAAAACGGTAAACTCAATTGAAATTCCGATTTCACAGAAATGTTTAAAATTACAAAACGCCTTGAATAAAACCATAAAAAGTATAGGTCAGAAAAAATTTAACTGCCCCATTGTTAAATTTCGACCTTTAAAGGCTATTTTTATCCATACGATCGAATTGATGCAATTTTTTCTGCTTTCTCCTAGGTCATTCTAACCCGTGCCGTCTCGTTTTTTGTAGGTTGCCGGCGGGTGGGGGGCGACCGCCCGGGCTTCAGCATCAGCACGGGCGCCAACGAGCGCGTCGCCCGCTTCCTCCAGGACCGGACCAAGTCGGAGGTGCGGGTGGTGGGCGCCGAACGCGAAAAGCTCGGCCAACTCGCGAACCTCTACTCTCTGGACCTGTGGTTCGAGGGCCAGAGCGCCACCTTGCGGAAGACGCAGAACACGCCCGCCATGCAGCCCACGCAGCGCCACCACGCGGGCCACAGCGCCATCCACAAGAAGATCCGCACGCACCACGTGCTCTCCTAGTGTCCAAGTGAAACAAGCGATAAGCAGTAAGTACCGATTCGAATCGCGTCGACAGCGGCAACAGTGTTAACGGCGTTTAAAAATGACATTTTTGACAGTTGAAATGTCAATCCGGGCATCCAAGGCAATTTTGATTAAAAACCTTGTAAATCAAGTTAATAGTGACAGATTTAAATCGCGTCAACAATGACAGTGTTAATAGCGGTTTTGACGTTCAAAAATGCTCCTTTTGACAGTTGATGTGTCAATTTTGATTTAAAACTTCGTGAATCCAGTTAAACACGACTCAGTTGCAGTGAGTGAACCAAGAAACAGCAGTGAGTACTAATTTGAATCGCGTTATTAAGGGGAACAAATTTTGTCTGTTTGACGTTTAAAAATTACATTTTTGACAGTTGAAATGTCAATTCGTGCGTTCAAGGCAATTTTGATTAAAAACCTTGTAAATCAAGTTAACAATGACTGATTTAAATCGCGTTAACAATAACAGTGTTAATATCGGTTTTGACGTTCAAAAATGCTCCTTTTGACAGTTGATGTGTCAATTTTGATTTAAAACGTTGTGAATCCAGTTAAAAATGACTGAGTTGCAGTGAGTTAACCAATAAACAGCAGTGAGTACTACTTAATTTTTGCCTGTGTTAATATCGGTTTTGACGTTTAAAAATTCTTTTTGACAGTTGAAATGTCAATTCGTGCGTCCAAGGCAATTTTGATTTAAAACCTTGAAAATCGAGTTAACAATGACTGATTTAAATCGCGTTAACAGTGACAGTGTTAATAGCGATTTTGACGTTCAAAAATACTCCTTTTGACAGTTGATGTATCAATTTTGATTTAAAACTTCGTGAATCCAGTTAAACATGACTCAAATGCAGTGGGTTAACCAATAAACAGCAGTGAGTACTACTTAATTTTTGTCTGAGTTAATATCGGTTTTGACATTTAAAAATGACATTTTTGACAGTTGAAATGTCAATTCGTGCGTCCAAGGCAATTTTGATATAAAACCTTGGAAATCAACTTAACAATGACTGATTTAAATCGCGTTAACAATGACAGTGTTAATAGCGGTTTTGACGTTTAAAAATGCTTCTTTTGACAGTTGATGTGTCAATTTTGATTTAAAACGTCGTGAATCCAGTTAAACATGACTCAGTTGCAGTGAGTGAACCAATCAACAGTAGTGAGTACTGTTTTGAATCGCGTTATTAAGAGTAACAATTTTTGTGTGTTAATATCGGTTTTGACGTTAAAAAATGTTGTTTTTGACGGTTGAAATGTCAATTCGTGCGTCCAAGGCAATTTTGATTTAATTTGAAAAAGTTGAAAAACATTGAAAATTGAGTTAAAAAAAGTACTGATTTTGACAGCTGATAAAACCACGTTTTAATAACATTTTTGACAGTTTTTATTAAAGTATGTTCCTGATTATTTAAAAATAATTTAAAATTGAAGGTTTTTGCTGAAAACAAAAGTATAGGGTGTCCCACAATTAGTGCGACATATCACGTATATGTATTTCATATTTAACAATTTTTACAGATCATTTTAAAGATTACCTAAATTTAAATAATTTTTTGAAAAAAAAAATTCACTTTCACACGTATATATTGTTGTTTGTTGTCATGATGAATAACTTTTTTCGAAAAAAAAAAACGTTGAAATTAAAAATAAATGGATTATAAAATTTTCCGAATTTTCAGAAAAATTGAATTTTTGAAAAAATTAAGTCAATTTTTATTCAACTACCGCAAAGAATTTAAAGTTAATAATAAAAGTTACATTTTTATAACCTGGTTTGGTCATTATAAGCTGTCAAAATGCTTTTGATGTGGAAAGAACTGATTTATGTATGTAGTGTTTTGTTCTATAGTAAAAAACTTTTTGTTATAAAATCTATTTTAGATAGATTTTCGGCAACATATCACAAAACTTATTTGTTTATTATTTTTATAGGGTGAAATGTAAAATCTGTCCAATATAAATCACCAACCCTGTAATAGTACCTACCTATTTATTTATTTTAAATTGCATTTATTTCTTTTAAAAATTGCGTGTTATGATTACTATATTGGATTAGTTTTATTGTTATTTTTATAATTTCTGCAAGAAAGAGTTAATTCAAAATATAAACCTACATGGACTTAATTTTTTATTCCCATCAATGAAATAAAACACAATTTAAATAATATTAATGTTTAATATAAACAATAGTTTCAAGCTCATTTGAAAAAATCAAATCAAACTGTTATGTTTTACAAATTTACAAATATATTATTGCTTCTAACTAACACGATCACTAAAAATCACTAAGTCGCTAAATAATCGCGATAAATTCGCAACGTGGCAACATGGCGCGTGTAAAATTGCAACGAAACAAAAAATCACAGATATTCGTTCGATTTTCCTGCCAAATTCAGTGAATTTACCGCGATTATATTTTGTTCTAATTACACTTACGATTTATCTACATAACGATTCGAGAAAATGATATGTTATGTTAATGATATATGTATATCCCTATTTAAGCAAAAAATCGGTCAACTTGACAACGTTGCTTTTTTTCGAAAAATGAGTTATCAAGTTTGTGATAATTTTACTTCTATATCAGTGCTGCTATTATGCTAGTTATAAAGAAATATATTAAGCATGATTATTAAGTATTATCAACCGAAAATTTTGGAGTTTCGATTATTTTTGGTTATTCATTTGTGGGTACCTAATAAATGAAAGTTTATTTCAAATAATCGAATATTTTTAATGACCAAAATAAAAAAACTAAAATGTTTTTGAAATTAAACTTCCTTTGGAGCGTTATGGTAAAAGTGAGGTATCAGGAGAGCATGAAGTGGCAGAGGTAAGTCACGTGGATGTTTGCAACAAAAAATAAAAATCGGAAGGATAATTGAAAACAGAATTTTTAAACTCAATTTTAAAATCAACAAATTTTACAAAAATTAAAAAAAAAATTCTTCGGCCATTTTTCCTACTTAGTATTTAGTTACGCCAAAGAAATATAACTAATATACGGCAGTGATGTGTATGTTATTTTGTCGCTTAAAACAAAAAAAATAAGCCATGGCAGTGATAATAATTCGTTTTAAAATTGTTATGGGTCAAAAAAAATTATATTTGCTCTACTACTTTTATCATCTTGCTATTTAAATTCATTGTTAGTATTTATTATCATTTTTGCAGTCTGAAGTTGTTGGTTGTTTTTTAAATGTGAATGAGGTGTATCTACCATTTTTTCTAACTTAGTTTTGAATCAAAACTTTTAATGGAATGTTATTAAAAGTATATTACATTCACTTCACAAAAACAGTTAGTACTGCCAACCTAAAGAAAGTAAACATGATATACCAAGGTATAGATGCAAACCACAAAATATTTAAGAAAAATGCACTTTTTAAAAATTACCAAGGAACTGTTAAAATGTTTAAAATTATTAAAAACTATTACTAATAATAATAAATTGACTACCAACATGGGTTTGCATTCATACTAGAGCCCCTGTATATGTATGAAAGTTTCTTTATTGTTTAGCATTTTTTGTAATTGTTATACCCAATTTTACCGTTCTACAAAATATCTAATTCAGTCTTAAATTAAAATTACTAGCTTTAATTGATATTTCTACCATATACAGTAAGGGCAATGTTTCGCCTTAATTAAATAACTTTATTGTCAACATTTTATCTTATACCTACTAATTAGTTGATAAAAATAACACATGCAGTGTTTTCGTGTCACTACATTTGTATACAGGGTGTTTAAAAACGCTACGGTAATTTTTAAAATTACTTGTTAACGTTTCTAAACACCCTGTAGAGTATCGAACACACCCTGAATATCTAAATCTAAAAAAGCTCATATACAAAAGGTCGCCTACAATGTCAAAAACGTCGTATCAAATCTATAGTACAGTCTTTCATAAATACGCGGTTATCAAAAAAACAGCGACTAGTTTTTTAGGTACAACAATTACAATCATAGTTTTTATTGCGGCGTTTCTACTCCATTTGTTCCGTTATCTCTAATATCGGGCTTTCGCGGAGCGGCAACAATGGCGGCCAAGGTTGGTTATTCGAAAATTGAGGCTGAAAAGGTTTATTTATTATATATATTTTTAATTACCACAAATATTGCTACCTGCGTCTGAATCGGTGTACTTCGTTGTTCCTAAAATAAAAACAAGATTGTTGTACTTAATTTTAGTAGAGAAGTGGGTGGTTATGCATATGTAACCCCAGCAAACACATAATGCTCAATAATGGGATTTAAGTCGAATAGTCTTTGCCGTTTTTTGATCAGAGGCACCATTAATTAGTTATAAAATAAAGTAACCAATCACAGGCGTGTTTTAGCAGAACGATTAAAGGTGGGAGAACTACAATGTGCAGCTAAATATTAGAAATTCTACATAAAATCGTAGTGTAAAATGACCTTAATTGTATGGTTGACATTGTCACTGTCAGTGTTTTTGTTTTAGGTTAGTTTTAACTTGAGACTTTTTTTTAGGGAAAATTGGTGGCTCTAATACAGATTAATAATAGTTTTAAACGTTGTGATTCTCACAGAGGCGCTTGTAAGCCTAAGGCTTGATTTATAGATTGCCTTCCTTTCTCCCTGCCGTAAAAGATGAACAATACAAAAACCATTGTGCTATTTATAGATTCCCGTACGGGAATCTATAAATGGCACTACGATTTTCGTATTGTTCATCTTTTACGGGAGCAAGAAAGGAAGGCAATCTATAAATCAGGCTTAAAAGTGCCAAGAACAAGCGTTTTACTCCTCGTTTGGTAAAAATAAACCTTATTCTATCAGGGCTGTCATTAAACTGTCAAATTTTAATTTTAAGGTTAATTTACCTGATAAATTTTACCATAACCCACAAATTTCAATTTGATAGTTTGATGACAGCCCTTAAGGTTGTTAGCACTTAAGGCCTCATTTGAGACGTACAAGTGCCTCTGTAAGAAACACAACGTTTAAAACGATTTTTAATCTGTATAAACATAAAAATGGCCGCCGTTAGATTCTGTGCAGTGTTGCAGTGATTTTTAGTAAGCGCGAAACAAAATAAAACGGGGTTTGTTGTGTGGATTGTTTCATTCAAATATCTCTAATTAAATAATAATGTTAAAATTAATTACTATTAATATTAATAAAATAATTATTTTGACTTATTTAAAAAAGGTAAAGTACATCACAATCAACCTTGTATTAACTAATTTATTAAGTCGCAAGTTAAAAAAAAATAACAAAAAGAAAAGGTAGGTTTATTTGTACAACTTTGGATTAATTTTAATAGATGGCGTTCGTAGCTGCGCTTCAAATTAAATGGTAAAACATAACCACAAATTAATTCATTAATTCATTTTTGTTCGCCTCAATACAGGGGTGGTTTTAAAAATTCCACGATAATCGGAAATTTTTATTCCGACCGTCAGAAATTGTATTGTATTGGATAACAATTTCTGATCATGGTAGAATATCCTTATCTAATTAATATATACCTACCACATATAATCCACCATTTAACACCCCATATCAGAAACTTTAGCTTGCCTTTAATCTGCCATATAAAAAAGTGTTTGCTGGGAATATGTAACCCTATGGCGTGTAAAAGCAAAAAAAACACAACTTACCCGCAAATCAAATCAAACAAGTCAAGCTCAAGGTAAAAAACAAAAAAAAAACAAATCATAAAATAAAAATATAATTTATTATGGCCGCACTGGACTGCGACAACTAACTTTGTACTAAGAGAAAGACTAGCACTTTTAATACTTGAAGATTATATACATACAAAAACAGCAACAACAAGCTTATAAAACTAAGCTGGAAAGGAAAACATTCTACAAAGTGCACTTAGGTGGGAAATACCTGGGTCCAACCTGAAGTGGAGGTCCAACTTTGGGCCGGTAAGGTAGAGCTCTCGGAAATCTGGCAGGAGTTCTGCATAGAGCCTGGGAGGGCGCTCCAAGCGTTTTCCCCGGCGTTTTCCACGTAAGCTTGAAAGGCCATCAGTTCTTGATTCTGGTCTTCCGTGAGGGGTAGAGGTGGCAACACCGGCTGCTGCTGCGCTATCTTGTAGCTGGCTTGCCGCAGCATTTGGCGCCTGGATAGGGGCGTATCGGAACTGTTGGTGGCGGCGGTTTGTTTCTGCAGTATCTGCCTCTTTTGCTGCAGGATTCTGTGCTGCATCGCTGTATGCAGCTGAGTGTCTATCGCCGAGGTGTAGCTGAAGTTATCAGGGAGACTGATGCGTTTGTGGCCTCGCGGAGAGAGGTACTGGTTGTGTTGCTTTTGCCTGTGGGAGATTTCTTCCGGATGTTCCCTCGCTTGAAATTGAGACTGCAATCGTTGAGCTTCTCTTTGCACCAAATGCAACTCAAGTACACCCTTGGCTTTGTTGTGTTGCTCGTTAAACTTCTGGCTGTTAAACGCTACGAAGTTGGTACTACTTTCGGGTTGTTGGTTGACTAAACCATCGCTAGCTCTTCTCCCTACACAAAACAAAATTTACACTTTGAGTTATTCAAATTAAGTCGGGTTCATACAGTTGCGAAATGCGATTTGCGAAAAATGTGTTTATTGGTCCATTCGATTTGGCGGGAAAAACGTTTTAAAGTCTTGACAGATCCTGCGAATTCGCTAGATTTAAATCTAAGGGGTGGGAATCTTAAGAGTGATTCAATATTTTGCGAAAATCGCATTAATATAGTTAAGATATTTACACGAAAAAAAAAACGGTTTTATTTTCGGAAAAAACGGAAAAATTGGGAAACTTTCAGAAAAATTGACTTTTGCATATTATTCAAAGGGTAATACGAAAAAATTAAGTCATTTTTTCATTGAACATTGATATCGAGAAAAAAGTGAATTTTCGACGGTGAATATAATTATAATAATTATTCCTTTCATTTTAATTCAGTAAGAATATTCTACCGGGTCGCAAAAAACATATTCGGTACTGTATTAACATAACTTTCGTTTTATTTGACACTTCGATTTATAAAATTATAATTTTGTAATTCAACTTTATAAATCATTCGTTATTTTGCAATTGGATATTTTCAATGGACTCCTTTTTGCAAAAAAGATCCAACCGACAGTATATTTAACGTTTACGTTTATTTTCTTAAATCAATTTAATTTAATTCAATGCTTAGTTTTGTTTTTTCTGTAAGGATATTTTTTTTGAAATTAAAATAATGTTAAGTTTTTCAAATATGTATATTTCCCTAAAAACACATTTAAGGTTTTAAAATTTCCGGAAAAATTGAGCCGACGGAAAAAAAACCGTTTTTTTTCGAAAAAAAAACGGAAAAAATTGGGAAACTTTCAGAAAAATTGACTTTTGCATTTTATTCAAAGGATAATACGAAAAAATTAAGTAATTTTTTCTAAAAATTTATATTTTTTTACGGATAATATCCGTACATTGATGTCGAGAAAAAAAGTGAATTTTCGACGGTGAATATAATTATAATAATTATTTCTTTTATTTTAATTCATTAAGAATATTCTACCGGGTCGCAAAAAACATATTCGGTGCTGCATTAACATAACTTTCGTTTTATTTGACGCTTCGATTTATAAAATTATAATTTTGTAATTCAACTTTATAAATCATTCGTTATTGTGCAAGTGGATATTTTCAATGGACTCCTTTTTGCATCGTATATTTAACGTGTACATTTGTTTTCTTAAATCAGTTTTATTTTTTTTCATCTAAGGATATTTTTTTAAAATTAAAATAATGTTAGGTTGTTGATTGCCCAAAAAAGCAAAAATATCGAAAAAGACAGTTTTTCCCCAATTTTTTCGACACTAAAACCCCAAATCAAATTATATTTACCTTCTCTGAAATCCACTGGAGACCTGGTCATCCCTCTGGTGCTCTTGTAGCTCGACATGTGCACCAGGGGACTGTTCTTGTGCATCAAGGACCTCGTCCCGCCGGGCGAGTAGGTCGTGTGCAGGTTCGGCAACGGCGTGGAACTCGTCAAAGTCGGCTCCTGCATCTGATCGTTGGAGGTGCAGCTGGGCAAGCTGCTGCACAGCTCGTTGGACTCCAGGCTTTCGAAGTTGCTGTCGCAGCTCAGGTTCTGGCTCAGGTTTTTCGATGTGGTGAAGTTGGTTACGACGCCGCTCGAAGACGATGAGGAAGCGTAGCTGAGCCGGTGCTGATGGTCCTCCAGATCCGTTTCTACTCCTTCGTCGGTTGAGCTGGAATACTGATTTGGCATGTCACCAATTTGAAAGTTACTGGAACAAGATGAAATGCTTTAGATGGATTGAATGAGTTTGGGGTTTTAAAGTGTCGGAAAAATGTTTTTTCCGGGCCTTGAAAAAATTGTCTTTTTTGAGAAAAATAGATTGAAAATATCCAATTACAAAATAACGAATGATTTATAAAGTTAAATTACAAAATTATAATTTTATAAATCGAAGTGTCAAATAAAACGAAAGTTATGTTAATACAGCACTGAATATGTTTTTTTGCGACCCGGTAGAATATTCTTACTGAGTTAAAATGAAAGGAATAATTATTATAATTATATTCACCCGTCGAAAATTCACTTTTTTCCTCGATATCAATGTACCGTAAAAATTGTAAATTTTTCGATTTTTTTTTTATTTTTTCGGATTAACCTTTAAATAAAAATTTTCTAAAAGTTTCCCTCCCAATTTTTCCGAAAAAAAAACGATTTTTTCCGTTGGCTGAATTTTTCCGGAAATTTTAAAACCTTAAATGTCTTTTTGGAAAATATACATATTTGAAAAAAAGTGGAAATCAACAACTTAACATTATTTTAATTTCAAAAAAATATCCTTACAGAAAAAAATAAAACAAAGCATTGAATTAAATTAAATTGATTTACGTTAAACGACTGTGGGTTGGATCTTTTTAGCAAAAAGGAGTCCATTAAAAATATCCAATTGCAAAATAACGAATGATTTATAAAGTTAAATTACAAAATTATAATTTTATAAATCGAAGTGTCAAATAAAACGAAAGTTATGTTAATACAGCACCGAATATGTTTTTTGCGACCCGGTAGAATATTCTTACTGAATTAAAATGAAAGGAATAATTATATTCACCATTGAAAATTCACTTTTTTTCTCAATATTAATGTACGGATAGTTATAACTATATATACCCTTTGAATAAAATGCAAAAGTCAATTGTTCTGAAAGTTTCCCAATTTTTCCGAAAAAAAACAATTTTTTCCGTTGGCTGAATTTTTCCGGAAATTTTAAAACCTTAAATGTGTTTTTTGGGAAATATACATAGGTATTTGAAAAAAGTTTCAATCAACAACTTAACATTATTTTAATTTCAAAAAAATATCCTTACAGAAAAAAAATAAAACCAAGCATTGAATTAAATTAAATTGATTTAAGGAAATAAACGTAAATGTAAAATATACTGTGGGTTGGATCTTTTTTGCAAAAAGGAGTCCATTGAAAATATCCATTTGCAAAATAACGAATGATTTATAAAGTTGAATTACGAAATTATAATTTTATAAATCGAAGTGCCAAATAAAACGAAAGTTATGTTAATACAGCACCGAATATGTTTTTTGCGACCCGGTAGAATATTCTTACTGAGTTAAAATAAAAGGAATAATTATTATAATTATATTCACCGAAATTTTAAAACCCTAAATGCATTTTGGATGAGACTCACCTTTTTCTCACTGAAGACGTATTGTCAGCAAACTCGAAAGGGTGCGAATGTGAAGGCCCGAAACCGTGCTGATTGATCTCCTTGAACAAAGCTATATCAGTGGATGTGGATGGTATGGCGGACATTTGCAGCGTGGACATCAGCTTGGTTGCTTCAGAACACATGCTGAAACTCGTGGTGCTGGCTTGGTTCAGTATTTTCAACGCTTCCTCAGAGTTCCTCGCCGCTAGCAATTTAGCAGCGTCTATGCCATGAGCTGGAGGCGATTCGCTTTTGCGCGTTTCGCTGCCGTGTCTGGACATTATTGGACTAGATAAAACGCTAGACGCACTGGTTGCGACGTTCAAAGCTGAAATACAAGTCGTTTAGTACATGGCGCAGTCGTTAGAATCACACACTGTTTAAAATATCTGTGGTGTGAAGAGTAATCTTAAAATGGTGTCAAAATCCAACACCAAGTGGTGTTAATAACACCATGAATTATGGTTGAAAATGTTTATACAGCAAACACCAAAACGGTGTTGATCTAAAAATATTTGAGAAGTGCACCTACACAGAAAAAAAGGAATAGTTCATTTAACTATATTAATTCACTTGACCCATAAGTATTTATTTAAATCAACTGTGGGAAGGTTAATATAAACAAAGATTAGTTTGACGGTAGATAGTCATTTTATTTTTTTTAAATTGGTTAAATTAACCCAGAAAACTTTAGTGAAACCAACCCGCTGTATGGTTCAGTTTACTAAATATGTTGTTTGTAAAATAAGAGTTACTTCAACCTAAAGCACTCTGTTTAACGATTAAAACAATTTGCCGTGCATTCCCGGTTGCATAGTGTGTACCGATCGCGGCAAAGGCGGCGTGGATCACGCGATGTTCTTAAATCTCGCCTCTGTTGACTTACATGAAGAGTATATAACCTCAGGTAGTCCTTTGCTTTGGTGTGACACTACAAGTTGTTCGATACTAAAGAGACCTTAAATAGGTGGAAACAGCTGTCAATATTTGAAGTATTTTAGTGGAACGCACTAAAAACATTATCTCTAGCGAGTTGAAGGTTCAATTTTCTGGAATAATACCACTGGTAATATACTTGTAATGCGTCAAGGAACTTCCTGTTTCCTTTTTTTTCTGTGTAGTATGATTTAATTTGACCAAAAACACATAATATTTAACACTGAAAATGAGTTCAATTTACACCAGGTAAAATTTATTTTAATACTGTGTGAAAGTTAAATTTACACCATTTTAGTATTTGAATTTACACCGGCCAACGAACCATATTTAACGCCATTTTGGTTTGTATCGATATAGACCATGTATGGTGTTAATTTGGTGTTAAAATGGTCATGAAATTTTGAACAGTGCATAGTTACTTGAGGCGTTGTTGATTCTGCTGTTGCTCGAATGCGGTGTTGCCAAGCTGTAGTGCGATAAACTCTGGCAATCTTCCATGGTACCAGCCCTGCCCAGTTTTCTTAACGCTTGGTCAGCTATGCTCGATGGTCTTCGCCGTTGTACTTCTTTGCCGGCTGCCAAGTCTTTGTCTTCCAGTTGGGCTCTCAGTTTGTCCAACAAAAGATAGTATATCGCAGCATGGTGGTCATAGGATGCCATACGTATTGACTGCAACAATATTTGCTTATGTTACCTGTTCTAAAAGGTACAGTCCAATTTTAACAATCAGACTTGGTCTACTAAATAGTACTTTGGGCGGAAGAATAAATATTAAACACTAAAGTATAACAAAATAAAAAAACAAACACTGTTTTTTGAGTTTAACGAATTTATTTTAATTTTATTTTGACAATTGTTTCGCACTCAGTAGCTTCTAAAGAAGCTACTGTGTTAGCGAAACAATTGTCAAAATTAAATTAAAATAAATTCGTTAATCTCAAAAAACAGTGTTTGTTTTTTATCTTGTTATACATTAGTGACATGGAGTTTCATAAAAACTTCAAGTAACGTAAAAAATATACAAGGGGTTACACAATTTGAGGTACATGCTTTCAAAAATGTACAGGGAGCGATAATATAATATTTAAATACCTCTTTGTCTGCCTTATGTAAGCCAAATAAATAAATTCATTAGTTATTTAGAAATTTTATATTTTAAAATACAGAGTGTCACCAAAGTTGTCATTGACCTAATATTTTCAAGGCTAAAACTAACATTAAACTAAATATTAATCTTCCTTTAAACAAGAAGATCTTATTCCTGCCTGTTAAATGTTAAGAAAGACTTTAAATGAAATAATCTTATTCTTAATTTAAGATTCCCTCTATTCTGTTCTTAAAGATATAAAACTGTACTGGATATAAATATAATTATATTTATTCCAAGATTAGTAAATATCGGTACGACTGGACTATTCTTAAAAATTCAGTCTTAGAAAAAAGAGATAGCATAATCCACTCTTTACCATTTGAAATAAACATGGTCAATATATCCTAACCTTTATTTAAAGTCTAGCAAAAGTTAAAAAAAGAATAGACAATATTTGAAACAATTATTTCTTAACTTACATAAAGATACCATATATTTAATCCAAAAGTAAATATTGTATCGCCAAGAATTATATCATTTGTATCAAAAAATACTTATTTTTAAATTAAGCATAGTGTATATTTTATTTGAGGGTGCTTGCATTTAAAATAATATGATAGTTTTTCTTGAAATAAGATTAAGTTTACCCTTGCACCTAACATTGAAATTATATCCAAATAAGTATAGGTTAGTCCTGGCATTCAACTCCCTATATCTTTCAAATAAGTTTTAATTTATCAACCCACCAAAGGATGACAATTTATTAGATGACACTCTGTATAAAATGTAAAAAATCTAAAATACCTTGGGATCCACCTTACGAATTATCTGTTAAAACATTGTAGCGTGAATTATTTGGCTTTTTAATTGTGATACAGGGTTTCGCACTACTCAGGACATTACACCTTCCGAGTTGTGGAACACCCTGTATATTAAACTAAAACTGCAAGTAACATTCTTACGTCTCTTGTTTTGGTGCTATCGATGCCCAAACTCTGCATTAACCTTAAAATCTGCTCTATGGGCTGGTTTATGGGTATGGAGAATGAGCAGGGTATTTTGGGTGGAGGACCCATCTGCATCCATCTGTGCTTTTTTATTTGCGAGATAGTGTATCTCTTCATCGGTTCCAGGACCAACATTTTACGTATCAAAGATTCGCAATCTGAAAGAAAATAAATTGCAAATTTTGGCACCTAATCTGAATCGCATTATTAAGGAAATTTTTTCTACATAAATTTAATTTGTTTTTCCATCATAAATTAATTCTCCCATCTTCGATATTATTTTTGGTGGATCATTTCCATAAAAAAGCTATTTTTAGCAATAATTTACCTACGTTATATGTAACGATAAAAATATATAAAACTACGTCAATATCTAAGTCAATATTTGTCCAAACTAAGCTTATGTTAAAAATAATAATAAAACCGATTCAGATAAATACATTGCGTGGTTATAGGCTAAAAAAAGCATCGATACAAAAAATTATAAGTTTTATATTTATCACAATGGCGCTTTGTATAATGTAGTCCAGTTTTTCGTCATCGTTTCACGTCATTGTCGCTAAAATAAGAAAATTATTGTCGCCTAAATTGGATTGATCACGAACCACGTTTATACCCCAATTATAAGCGAAAATAATTACACCAAATAACCGTGAATTAATTCATATACAAGTACAAAGTACAAAAATATTTTATTATAAATATAAACGTATTGTAGTGTGACTTGACCTTAATGGTATTGTTGACAGATCAGTTTGTTGGTTTTTAGGTTAAGTTTCTTACATTCCTTTTCTACGCTTTTCTTGGATTATTTACCTTTAAAATTTATTTCCAAATATGTTAACAATGTATATTTTGCAAAAATTAATTTTATACCTTAAATTTAATTTGGTTGAATTTTACTTTAGATAGTTGGTATCACAGTCATTGGTTTGACAGTTAATGTCAAAATCGATTCGCCATGCCGTCCTTAATTTACTTATTTACAATAAGCGGCTGTTAATGTTAAAGAAGAAAAAAAGGATTTTCTTTGGTGTTTATTGCCAGAAAAGTCCCGTAAGTACTAGAAAAATCATAAAAATATTATAACCAATATGCAAAATATTATGCTGTTTAAAGTATAGCAACCTATATAGGTTTATATAACACCAAAATTTTGGGTGGGATAAAGTATTTCATTACAGCACCGAAAGCGGTGTTATAATGAAGTCATTATGAACAAAAAATAGATAAAATATTAAAATAACTTCAAAATATAATAAATTTTGTTAAAAAAATATGTTATCCTTTGATTTTTTTTATTACTATAATTGCAAAATATTATTATACAAAGTATTAAAAATTCTTGCACGGGAAATGTTAAAGGTCCAAAGAATTTCTAATTTGGGAATCTACCGGCGTTAAAATCTCAAATTTCTCTGTGTAAATCAAAATTTATCCCTTGAAAATAGACTAACAATCGATTTAGAAGCAGATTTTCACAGTAAAAGGTCTTTTAGTGGGCGTTTTAAAGGTGGAGTAGAATTTTTTTATTGTTTTAGAATTGCCAACATAACCAATAAAATCATAACAATCTCATAGTTCCATCGCTTATTTTGTTGATTTTTTTCGGGCTTATATTGTCTGGAGGTAAAAATAATATTAACTTGGATAATTGTGTCAACAATGACAAATAACAAAACAAGATTGCGATTCAACGACTTTATTATATTAATTCCAGCTTAATTAGTTTTTTTTGTGGTTTGTCGTTATTTCTTAACAGTCCATAGTTCGTTTTATGTCGCGTAGGTAATTATCAATTTACTTTTGTGACGCAAACGGGGCATCCGTCCGATGGAAAAAATTTCTAAGTGAGTGGCCGCCTGTTGACGCAGGTCGCCAGTTAAAAGTACCGCTCGTTTTAGTTACAAAGCCTACTCGATGACGTCATCACAGGTGACGATCACGTTAGAAATCACATTAAAAAGATTTTATTTCTTAGCTTAAAATCAAGTACACTTGAAACAAGATGATATTGTCAAGGCTAAAACTAACATTAAACTAAATATTAATCTTTCTTTAAACAAGCAAATCTTATTCTTGCCTGTTAAATGTTAAGAAAGGCTTTAAATGAAATAATCCTATTCTTAATTTAAGATTAACAATCGATTAGACCAAATTTCGGAAAATTCCCTCTATTCTGTTCTTAAAGATATAAAACTATACCTACTGGATATAAATATAATTATATTTATTCTAAGATTAGTAACTATTCTTAAAAATATCCCCCACTCACGAAAGTGTCCAATATAGCCAAAAATGTCTGTCTTGCAAACAAAATCAACGTGTCTGAAGGTTTGAAAAAATCATTGCATTATATATTATAGGTAGATAGGTATTTGAAACATTGTAAAAAAGTTTAGTAATAAAGACAATGCTATAGACCAACATCATTTTTTTTCAGGTTAAGTTAAGCAATAATTGTTCCAAATATTGTCTATTCTTTTTTTTAACTTTTGCTCGACTTTAAAGGTTAGGATATAATGACCATGTTTATTTTAAAAGGTAAAGAGTGGATTATCCTATCTATTTTTCTCTATCAGTCTTGGAAAAAAAGAGATAGCATAATCCACTCTTTACCTTTTGAAATAAACATGGTCATTATATCCTAACCTTTATTTAAAGTCGAGAAAAAGTTAAAAAAAGAATAGACAATATTTGAAACAATTACTGCTTAACTTACATAAAGATGCCTTATATTTAATCCAAAAGTAAATATTGTATCGCCAAGAATTATAACATTTGCATCAAAAAATACTTATTCTTAAATTAAGCATGGTGTATATTTTATTTGAGGGTGCTTGCATTCAAAATAATATGATAGTTTTTCTTGAAATAAGAATAAGTTTACCCTTGCACCCAACATTGAAATTATATCCAAATGAGTATTAATTGGACTGAGATAATTAATCTTTAATATAGAATAGCTTTGAAAATATGGATTCAAAAAATCTAAATTTATCTCTGATATAGAAACACCATGTTCTCGATCAGACTTAAAATCAATTATCAATTATAAAGTATAAAATATTAATTTACCAGTTAATTACATTTTGATGAGATCATGTTTCTGACAGGTGTTAATTATAGACGTAAGTATATCAAGTCAAAAAGTTATAAATTTTGGCAACTCTTGATCCCGTTTAATTTTTTAGATGATATTTTTTATTTATCAATTATTTTAGTTAAAATAAAATTTATAATAAAAAAAACATACCTGAACTCATGAAATAAGGAATCCTAAATCGTCCTGAAAGGACTCTGTCTCTTAAGGCTTGTAAGGAACAACCGTCAAAGGGTAGAGCGCCACATACTAGGACGTAAAGGACAACTCCCAAACTCTGAAAAAAATAAAACATCAAACTTTTAAAGTTTAATAGCAAAATAGGTTTTTTAATGGTATATAAGGGCTACATAAAACTACTCTTAAGCTTAGTTAAAACCTTTTTGCTTTAACAGCAGCTATACAGCTTCGATAAAACCGTTATAGGGCTAAAAATGAGAATCCAATCGCTGTTTGTGTGTCAGCCACAAAGCAACTTTGCTTTATTGTATTACTCTTAAGGCACACCTTACATCAGCCATAAAACCTACCTTACAGCTGTCATAAAACCTGCTAAGTGCAATAGGTTTTAAGGAGGTAATATACTTTTGTCGTAAACACATTTTAGCTGACAATTTGTACTTTACTGTTGTACTTTGTAAATTCCATATTGCTTTAATCAAATACTTGTTTGGTATATTGTTGCCCTATGAATCAAAGCATATGTAGGCCATTATTGATTTTAAAAACTTAAAGCCTAATCATAAAGCTTCATTATCTTAAGACCAACTAGCACAAAGTAGAGCTGCAATAAAATAAAAAGCATATTTTCATGCATTTATAAAGCTTGCATAAACTGATGCCTAACAACGTGAATAATGAGTTCAGGAGTAGACAAAATTAATTATGTTGCTCAGGAATTCACAAAATAACATTAATATATTATCTATCGATTGGACTCATTATTTATTCATGAAATACTGTCTGCCAGTGGTTTTAAAAACAATATTTCACGAATAAAATTAATTTGTTTAAAACATCACAACCAAAAAAAATTGTAGACTTTAGTATTTTTATTACACAATCCTCTTTAAATATTAAAAAAATTGATTAAATATTAATATTAATACCTATTAAAAAAAATTTATATCTACACGAAAAAAAAGGCGAAGTTTATTCAAAGATTTTCCTTTAACTTAATCATAACATACAACATCTTTTTTAATGTAGGTAAGTACTTACCCAAATGTCAATTTCTGGCCCAATGTACTTTTTTCCTTCGAACACTTCAGGGGCGGCATAAGGCGGAGACCCGCACCATGTGGAAAGTTGCCCTCCAGGGGTGTAATAATTCGAAAAACCAAAATCGGCGATTTTTATGTTGTTGTTTGTGTCTAATAGTAAATTTTCAGCCTGGAAAAAACATTTTCATAAATCTCACGAAATGTCCCCCCGTGATATTTAATAAAACTAGTTTGACCTACACTTTTATTGTGTTTTGATCTTTCATAATTAAGTATTAAGTATTAATCAATTAATTATTTTTTACAATGTTTTAAAAGTCTAAAACCTATCCTCCGTGAATGTTACTCTTTCTAGGTTAACCTATATGTTTTCTAATATCTGAGGTAGTAAAGACATACTAAAAATATCAGCTCACTAAGTAAATGAAACACATCCAAAGCAATCGAATCAAATATAAAATATTATTAAATATTAAAAGAAATAATTTTTACAACCATTAATGTAGGTGTTACAAAAATTGATTCTATCCTCCGTGAATCTGTTTTTGCTTTAAATTTTATGCAACGGATGGCGCTTTAATCATTTTAAATAAGCAAAAACCTCTGTTTACGACATTATAGATGCATGTGATTCCTGAAGGTCAGTTAGAATGTATATGCAGATGAGAGTGTTGCTGTTTTATAATTCAAAAGTTTAAGTTCATTAATTTGCCATTTAAAAACCTATCCACCGTGAAGTGTAATATCTCAGTAAGTAGTTTTTTTATAAATATATAGTTTATGTATGTACAATTGTATTTTTAAAAAATATTAAGGTTTCAAATATTACAATAATTTATTTTAAATATACAAGGGGATGTTTTAAAAAAACATACGAAATCCTAACCTCAGTGAAGCTCTAATATTCAAAATGTATGATTTTTTTTTCGTCCAAAAGATAACAGGGGGGACTGTAGAAACAGTAAATTGTGGAATACATATAAATAAATTAATAATAAGGTTTAATTATATTTTATGCGTAATCACATTTTTAAATTTTGCTGATTAATCATGACTTCCTTTTAAATAGTTTTGCAAAATTTTAAGGAAAACTAAAATTATAAGCAAGCAATAAAATTTAAGTTTGGTTATATTTTATTGGGTTGGTAAATCTATAAATTTTATGAAACAGTAAAAAAGTACGATGTATTCATACTCTCAAAAAGTTTTGCTAATTTTAAAAGATAATCCAGTTGAATCAAAAAATTTCTCTAAACAATTAAATAATTGAAATACAAAATCTCATTAGCGAAAATCCCACTGAAAAGCCCTTGTTTCCTAATAATCCGAGCACTCAGAGTTCATAAACTTTTTATTATTGGTTCAGTAGGACTCTTCAGACCTATTGTGAGTATTTTCCACTTTTCATTCTCTTTTTTATTTCGAGTCTCTTGAGATTCTATCGATCCTGGGACAATGACGTCACACGGCGTAGGTGGATACTTAGCGCCTTTCGTTTAAGGGTTCAACCGTGAATATTTTATTTGTTGCCGACTTTGCTAAGTATATATACAGACAAACACAATTATTGACTAATACGTTTTTTTCTCTTATCATTATGCAAGAATACTGTATTTGTTTTTAATTCACGTACTAAAAATAAATATAAAAAAATTGAAAAAATATTGTAATACATTTTCTTTAATATAATGATGCGAAAACTGTGATGTCGTGTAAGAATGGCCCCTTAAACCCTTTCATCCCGAAAAAGTGTCTAAAGCATTTTATAAGATATTGGTTTTGTGTTACACTATAAAGAACTCGAAAAAGAATAAAGGCATGCTTAAAGCGATTTTCGGATTCTTGAAAAAGGGCTGGGGAAAAAACAAAATATATTTAAACAAAATTAATTTGAAATATATGTATGTATGTATTTCTTACCTTTAAATCTCGATGTACAATGTTGCGGTTATGACAATATTCCACAGCAGAAAGAATTTGCCAAAATTTCAATCTGGCATGTTCCTCAGTCATTCTACCGTATCTTGCAATATAATCTAAAAAATAAATAGTAGATTGTTTTATAAGTAAAAAAAAGTTTTTTTTAATAAAAATATCTTGCTTAATAAAAGTGTTGCTAAGTAAAAAAGTGTAGCTAACCATAAAACTAAAACTATTATTCAGTTTTAAGATTTGACCATAAATCTAGTTTTTTGGTTTAAGTAGGATGTTTAAGATTTGCTTAATAAAAGTGTTGCTAACCATAAAACTAGTTCTTTTGTTTAGGATGTTTAAGATTTGCTTAGTAAAAGTGTGTCCAATCATAAATCTAGTTATTTTCTTTGGGATTTTTAATATTTGCTTAATAAAAGTGTTGCTGACCATAAAACTAGTAATTAAAGTGTTGCCAAGCATAAAACCAGTATTTTTCTAGGATTTTTAAGATTAGTTTAATAAAAGTGTTGCTAAATAAAAAAGTTTGGCTATAACCATTAAAATAGTACTTTATTTTACGATTTTTAAGATTTGCCGAATAAAAGTGTTGCTAACCATAAAACTAGTAGGTACTTTTTGTATTTTTAAGATTTGCTAAATAAAAGTGTTCCTACCCATTAAACTAGTACTTTTTTACCGACTTTTATGATTTGCTTAATAAAGGTGTTGCCAAATGGAAAAGTGTTGCTAACCGTAACACTAGCAAGTGGTTTTATTTACGATTTTTAAGATTTGCTTGATAAAAGTGTTACCATTAAACTAGTAATAAAAGTGTTTGCAAGAATAAAACTAGTATTTTTATTTAGGATTTTTAAGATTTGCTTAATAAAAGTTTGCCAACCATAAAACTAGTTCTTTTCTTTGGAATTTTAAGATTTGCATAATAAAAGTTTTACTAAGTAAAAAAGTGTGGTTAGCCATTAAAATATTTTACGATTTTTAAGATGTGCTTAATAAAAGTGTTATAAACCATAAAATTGGTTCTTTTCTTTGCGATTTTCAAGATTTGCTTACTAAAAGTGTTGCTAACCATAAAACTAGTACTTTTTTTTGGGATTTTTAAGATTTGCTTAATGAAAGTGTTGCTTACCATAAAACTAGTAATAAAAGTGTTTGCAAGAATAAAACTAGTATTTTTCTTTAGTATTTTTAAGATTTGTTTAATAAAAGTGTTCCCAACTATAAAACTAGTTCTTTCCTTTGGGATTTTTAGGATTTGCTTAATAAAAGTGTTGCTAAGTAAAAAAGTGTGGTTAGCCATTAAAATATTTTACGATTTTTAAGATTTGCTTAATAAAAGTGTTGTAAACCATGAAATTGGTTCTTTTCTTTGCGATTTTCAAGATTTGCCTGATAAAAGTGTTGCTAGTCATAAAACGTACTTTTCTTTACGAAAGTGTTCCTAACCATTAAACTTGTAATAAAAGTGTTTCCAAGCATAAAACTAGTATTTTTCATTAGTATTTTTAAGATTTGTTTAATAAAAGTGTTCCCAACTATAAAACAAGTTCTTTCCTTTGGGATTTTTAGGATTTGCTTAATAAAAACGTTGCTAAGTAAAAAAGTGTGGTTAGCCATTAAAATATTTTACGATTTTTAAGATTTGCTCAATAAAAGTGTTTTAAACAATGAAATTGGTTCTTTTCTTTGCGATTTTCAAGTTTTGACTAATAAAGTGTTGCTTTACGATTTTTAAGATGTACTTAATAAAAGTGTTGCTAAGTAGAAAAGTGTTACTAACCATTAAACTAGTACTTTTCTCAAAACTGTTTTAAGTTTATAAAAATCGATATTTTACTTTAAATGAAATTGTTACAAAATATTCAAAAATGTAATTTTGCAAGTAAAATATTACCTCGTTAAAAATTTGAAAAGCAAACAAATCATTTTCGCCTGCATAACAAATGAAGGTGTTGCGTAACGCGGCTATTGAATTGAAGATTCATTCCATTTCGTCTGCCTGAAATTTCGGGCTCCCACGCAAGCGGGGGGACCTTGACGTAACTCTGACGTCATTTGGGGGGATTGGGGAATCCACCCCCCCCTTCGACCCCCAACTCGCCCGAACCAAGCCGCGAATTACGGCTGTCACAAACAAAAGGCGCGATTTGGGTTAAACGGCTTGTCAAATGTTAAAAGCCGTGTTTTTTGTTATTGACTTGAGAGTGTATTTTGTTTTGCTGTACAGGGTGTTTCACGTTTTTAAGATTTCTTCACAATTATTTACATTTTACTGAATTTTTAAAACAGTTTTTTGTAGTAGATATTTCAATGTTTTGGGACACATTTATTTTGGAATTTTAAACCAGTTTTAAAACATGTTTATAGTAATTCAGCTTTGGTTAAAGTTTAAAAACTTATATGTTGAATTTTAAGAATGTATTCTTACCAAATATTTCTCCCTGACTAGCATACTCCGAAACAAGATATATCATGTTTTTTGTTTCCATGACCTGCAAAGAAATGTTTTATTCTTAATAAATACATAAATACACAAACATGCACAATTATTTATTGGCTTTAAATAGAATTCTTAAAATATAAATTTTCAATGGATAAAATCAATATAACCGTTACAAAATGAAAATCTTATTGTTTCGAGCTGTTGAATAAATAAAATTGTTCGGTAATTTACGACTGTTGTTGAAAAGTTTAAAATAACAGGAAAATGATGCTTGTCGTAAATTAAGTTTTGTTTATCAAATTCGTATGATTTACATTTGAAATTGTTATTTTGTGTTTACAACAAAGTTTGACTTGATATCAAGTAAAATATAATTATTGATTTTAAGTTCAGCTTCAGTTTTTGTCTTTGGCATTATTTTATGTTATTTTCCATTGAATAAAAATATTTTTTTCATTAAATAAAAATTTAAAATAAATTTTACATTTTTCTCATAGGATTTTTGTCAATATTTTTTTTTCATTGAATAAAAATAGGATAAAATTATTTTGCCATCAGTTAAAATATTTTTTTTCATTGAATAAAAAAAATATAGATATACGGCTTTTGTTAGTCGGTTAATGATCAGTATTCGCCAGCTAGGTTCGTTAACACCGCACCTTCAACTTGCCCCTGACGCCGGCGTCGGTCCCACCGACGTCACAGGCGTCGCCTGGCAACCGGCGCTCTACGCTTGCAAACCGCCACGGCTTACTACGATCGAGAGAGCGTGGCAATGCCATGCTAGCCATCGTGATTCTATTTTAATATAACAAGCTAGAAATATAGTTTTTTATCAAATCAAAGCAGTTTTTTTCGATAAAAAAATATAATTTTTTGCAGTAATGAATAGTAAAATAAAAAACAAATAAATTTACATTTTTTTGCCATTTGTTGGTAAACCATAAGAATAATTAATGTTTTTGTTATGCTATGTGGTTAATAAATACAATTTATCTTGGTTTATCTATTTTACATTCTTTCAAATATAATATATGTGCAAGGACAATTTGTGGTTTAAAAAATAATAATAAATACATAAAATAAATAAAAATTTTAAGAAATCATACATTTTAAATATTAGAGCTTCACGGAAGATAGCTTCACGGAGGTTAGGATTTCGTATGTTTTTTTAACATCCCTTTGTATATTTGAAATAAGTTATTGTATCTTTTGACGCCTTAATATTTTTAAAAAATACAATTGTACCTACATAATATATTTATAAAAAAAATCTACTTGCTGGGATATTACACTTCACGGTGGATAGGTTTTTGCTTATTTAAAATGATTAAAGCGCCATCCGTTGCATACAATTTTAAGCAAAAACAGGTTCACGGAGGATAGAATCAATTTTTGCAACACCTACATAAATGGTTATAAAAATTATTTATTTTAATTTTTAATAATATTTTATATTTGATTCGATTGCTTTGGATGTGTTTAATTTACTGAGTGAACTGATATTTTTAGTATGCTTTTATAAAAGTATACTTCCTCAGATATTTGAAAACATATAGGTTAAGCTAGAAAGAGTAACAGTCACGGAGGATAGGTTTTAGACTTTTAAAACATTGTAAAAAATAATTAATTGCGGTTAAAAATCTGGAACCTGAGCTGTAATATCTACTTAATTATGAAAGATCAAAACACAATAAAAGTGTAGGTCAAACTCATTTAGTTTTATTAAATATCACTTTTATAGACACCCATTTAATTAAACACTCGCTTGCAAGCTGCTTTTATAAAATGAGCACAAAGGTAATTTGATTTTTATACTAGAGGCGCTTTAAAAGCGTATCATATTCTCTTGAAACCTTTTATCTGGTTGCTTGACCCAATTTAAAAATGTACACCACAGAAATTGTTGCATGGTTTTTCAAGTTCTTCCTTTTGTGCACTTTTTATATTAAATACCTAAACAGGTGCCTTTATATTATTAAACATGATTCTTTTATCCAATGAAATAGTATTTTTTATTTAACGAAGACATTTTTAACCAATGAAATATACTTTTTATCCAATAAAAAATATGTTTTCCCAATGAAATCTTACCTGATATAATTTTATAATGTGCGGGTGATCCAGCCGTTTCATGATATCGACCTCCCTGTATACTTTTTGTAAGTTGTTGCCGTCAAGTTGAGATTTATCAATTATTTTAATGGCGACCTGTAACAAATAAATAAAAAATATTAAATTTGTAAAACTTTAAGCTTGACAAATTTTAGTATTTTAGACATGACTTCAAAGTTGTTAAAGACTGATTAGTTTGATCATCAAACTTTCATGTAGTGAAAACAAATTATCATGAACAAAAAAAATTGATTTTAATCTTTGAAAAGTTGTTTTTTTCAATTTATTTTTGAACATATGGAAAATACGTTATTTACTTTGGTGGTGAATGTTTATATTTTTGAAAATTGATGCGTCAATACCAATAAATGCATCTGTATGTCATGACCTATTTTCTTTGAAATTATTTGTCCCAGATTCAAGACATTGTGATAACCTCTATTTTGCTTATTAATTTTTTTATAAAAATTAGACGAAAAGTTACACCCATATATTATTTTTTTCCAATGAAATTAATTTTTATTTCCCTATTTTTCAATTTATTAAATAACAGTGTTAAACATGGCGTAACATTACACTAACGTAATTTAATCTAGATTATACGTAAGACGTAAAATAATCTCAATACTAACGTCAAACGGATATTTTGTTTTAAAACATTTTACACCACATAAAAAAATATCTGCGATTATTTCACTCCAGTGATAATCTTTAACGCAGAACTTAAGATAATATTGTTTATTTTTTACTATTGCTAATATTTGCGTAATTTTTTTTGTTCAGTTCCGCCACTGTATTGGCGTTCATGTCTACTTGATATCACCCAGAAAAAGTTGACGCAAACGCGTGACGTCAATCCGCTATAAAAGGTTATTAAGATTTAATAGATAGGATATCGTAAGGCTTTGAACATATAGCCGCCATTGTTTGTCGCGATGCTCTCTTTTTTCATCTTCGTACTCAATATATTTGACAATCTAACCGAAAGATTTTAATCTGTGCCTCTTGTGGCATCGTCAAATTTTCTGCTTTATGATTTTTAATCGAGAAAAACAGAAAGTAAAAAATCAATCATACTAGCATAAATGGTAAATAGATATACACATAGGAAAGATAACGAGACATTGAAGGCTTTTTAACGTCGTTTGTATTTTTTTTATGCTACGGTATACCAAAATAGATGTCTGCTGGAATATCTCCAATCTCTCTAAAAGTCTCAAAGTTAAATCATTGAGAACTGTAAATAATATGCTAACTTATTAGCAGTATGTGTGAAACCCACTTTAAAAACTCCAAAGCATTTTTTTGTTGTTAAATATTAGACAGAACTAAAGAATTTTTACTGGGGTATTTTATCCTCAACATTTTCTATAAAGGTGTATGACACCCAGAAATTCTAAAAAATTGTTAACATTTTTTAAGATTAGTAGGTATAATTTAAATATTTTTTGTCTATAAATTTTCCTATTTTCATTTGAACCATCGAGTATTGTTCCGTTTTCTTGAAAATATAAACACCAAGGCCAAAGACTATTTTTAATATTTTGTTTCCCGAATATTGAAATACCATTGCAAATAATCATAATTTGGCGATAATTAAATGCAGATACAATTTTACACCTTAATTAATCATGATGTAATTAATTAGTATCTTAATGCATAATTAATCAAAGCAACCTTACATTAAAAAAACAATGGATTTTTTTACAATTTATACTGTACGTTTGAGTTGATTTAAAACTTGGAATCTTAATTGCAAATTTTATTAAACAATTACCTAACGATTACACGACAACACAAGAAAATAAACACATTAAAATTACTCATAATAATGCCTATTTTAAATAATTGTTGTATACAAATTTTTTTGGTCTGGTGTGGATGTCAAAAATTTAATTAGGTAAATATATTATATATTATTTGGTAGGAAACATTAAAATAGACGTCATAAGATAAAAATGTTGGTTAAGGCAAATATTTATGTATATAAAAACTAGAGCAAGTAAATATTTATTTTTTGTTTTTAACTATTGGCTAGGGTTTTAAAGTGCCAAAAAAAAAATTAAAAAATTATTTTTTTGGGAAATATACAAATTGAGATAGGTATAAATATTTTATATAATGTACACCCTGTAAAAAATTATCAAAATTATTTTTTTAAATTGATAACGATATGTAGTCTTTGTATACACCTAAAATCATCTAGTTTTTGCAAATGCAAAAAAAATATAGAGAATTTTTTTATTTCGTTTATTAATTTGTCCGGCATTTTTTTATATCCTGTATACATATATATTTCTATTCTTTGACTCAAATCAAATCTGTGAAACATGACAAATTTAACGAAGCGATTTAAATTTCTAAGCAATTATTGCATCGTTCAGAAATTTGAACATAAACTATTTTTGAACTGAAGCTAACGATCAAGGTTGGAAAATACGTTGAAAAAACGTGATTCAAACATTTTACGCAATTAAATGCGTTTAGGTTTCTCAAATATAAACATTAAAGAAATAGTTATAGACAAAGTTTTTAAAATCAAAATATTTTATTTTGTACATGTATATATATATGTATACATACGTACACAAATGTGTTTTAATTTTGCATAGTAGTATAAAAAAGTATAAACTACAATTACTTAGGTAAATTAGTACCCACCTATTTCAAAATAACTTGCTTATGTCTGTCAATTAATCGTTTCCTATTTGCGTATAAACCCAAGGTTCTAAAATAATTAATTATCAATATTTAGATTAACCCTTATTAAAATTAAATTAAAAACACAACTTTTTTGTCTTTTGCATTTTTTCTCTATATTGCTTAATTTTCAAGAAAAAAAAATTAACTCGTATGAACAAGTTCAAAAAAGTTAAAAACCTCCTAATTGCTTGGTTTATTAATTTAAATTATAAAAAATATTTCGTTATCATGAAATAAAGTAATTAGTTTTTTAAACAGTACAAATGACGCAGTTAACATGCGTAGGTATGACAGTTTTTTTCCTTTACATAGTAGAACACTCAAATACCTAAATAAGTTATTAAAATTAAAAGTATTTTTTTTCTTTTTCCTGCACGTAAAAATAAAATGTCCGAAAATGTCACCTAGGTAGGTATGTAATTTTGCTCCAATTTCAGGGCACCCTGTATATAAAATGTGTTTCAGTATAAATTTAGTAGGTATTCTACGTAAATCTGCAAAACATTTTGGACTTTGACCAATTCACAAATTGGACAATTATATAAATTACGTATTTATTAAAAAAACTATAGCTAACTATTTATTCAATTAAAAACCTTTAATTATAATTATCTCTAGACAATTTCGTTAATTGCCCCGGTAATTTTACTAATATAACGTACCTATTAGTTTATTTTATTACATTTTATCGTAAAGTTAAATATAACTGGCACTAGCGTAAATTGCCGATAAGGAAATTTGCGAATTAATTCTAATTTTGTTACATCAACGAATTTCCCAATTTGATAACTTTCTTCGTTTTTACTAATATTAAACCTAATATTTTTTAAACAGGAAATTGTGGGTAGATTACAACTTTATTTCCTGTCAAAATTGGGTGTTTATTGTTACAAAAACTGTACAGGGCAATCTTAGATTTACTAAATTTTTAAAATGTTTGTCTTTAAATTGCCTCAAAACTATCTAAAATGTTTTCCAAGAAGTCATTAGTCAAGTTAGGCAAAATGCACGCATGTCTGTAGAGAACACAAAGAATTTAAATTACATTCGTTAAATATTTGACATTAACATCACTTTTTACCAAATTATACCTAATAAAGCTAACTTCACCCCTTTAAGTCACAGCTTGCCAAATGGGAGTAGATACTCAGTAGATACAAATTGTTAATTTTAACAAAGTGAGGATTTAAAGTTTGAGTTTTTGACACAAAACTGTCAGAAAATGCATCTGTCAACCATAAAAATCTCAGCTTCATTATTTGAATGGTTTCCATAACAAATGCGTTTTTGGATGTGTCATATTTTAGCTTATCAGGCACAAAGCGTTGCCAAATTTAAACCTAAATGTTAATGACTCTAAAACAATACAGGAAATTATCACATGGATTGTTTTTATATACCTTAATAGTATATTAAGTTAATACTATTTACGTTATAATAATAATTACCTATATTAAATAACAATAATAACGTTTAGAATTGACAGGTTGAGAAATTCTAATACAAAAGAGGATAAATTTGAACTTACTTCTGTTTTGGTGATCCTGTGCCTGCCGAGCTTGACAACAGCGAAATTCCCTTTACCGATAGTCCTTTCTATATCGTAGAAGCCGACTCTGATGGCCTTTATTCTCTCCCGCTCGCCCATCTCTAAGGATATTATGACTTAAACTCGCGTTAAAATGCACTCGAACGCCTTTTCCCACCCCGATACGGCCCTAAACCATGCCAGAAAAGCACGATTTTCAAGTTTTGCTTCGACTCTTTTGCAGAGCTATCGCGTCACTCGCGATGATCGCAGTGCGCCGAGCACGACTGTCAGCTGTTGGCCGCGGCTTGCTGCGATTTCGCGGCGCGCTACAAGCCAATGCAATCTCGCCGATGCGGTGTTGCCAGAGTTCAGAGATTTACCTTGGGTTGAGAAAATTATATTATGACATTTACTGTTTCTAGTACCTATAAAAAGCGTAAAACTGTTCAAAATGTAATAATATAATTAACTTAAAACACACAGAACTTGAAACGGTCAAAAACTGTCAAAACAAAAAATTCTGAGTTGTCAAAAATTAAAAACTAAAATCTGACAATATTCATGGGTGCAATATTTGATTACACCTGGCAACACTGTCGTCGGTGCTCAGACCCAATGCGCCGTGACGTAGGTACGAGTGACGTGCGTTATTGTAGTATTTAGGTTTTTTATTGCTTCGGATTTTTTGCTATCTCGCTCCTGTCTCTGTATGTAACACGTTTTGATTGGAGGTTTTTTGTTTCGAGATTGTAGGTACTTTAATTACAAACGTGTCCAATTAGAATTTCAGTTGATACTTTTCTTCTATATTAAAGTTTATTTTTTAGTGTTATTGTTAAATAAAAATAAAATATTAAAAAATTATTATTTTTATTTCATCTAGGAACATTCGCCATTTTTGAAAAATATTGAATTTGTCATTTTACATGTTTATTTCATACCTAAAATTAGTTTTGCAAATGTCAAGTCTATCAAAATTATTTTTTGTCTTCGACCACTATGTAAAAGTTGTTTCGTATTGGCAAACAAAATATTGATATGTAAAACATCTCATGGTCTCCCAAAAAGTAATCTTGGTGCACCATTTAACATATTTCCTCATTATTTTCTTTCTAAAATTTAATTTTTCCACCACAATACCCAATGATATCTCAAACTACTAAACACCTCATGGTCACCCAAAAAGTAATCTTGGTGTACTATTTAACACCTATGCTAACCATTTCCATATTCAAATTTAATTTTTTCACCGCAATACCAAAAGTAAGCTTTCTAAACAAAATAATGATACCTAAACATCTCATGGTCTCCCAAAAAGTAATCTTGGTGCACTATTTAACATCTTCCAAATTCAAATTTAAGGTTTTCACCTCAATACCAAAAGTATGCCTTCTAAACAAAATATTGATACCTAAACATCTCATGGTCTTCCAAAAAGTAATCTTGGTGCACAATTTAACATCTTTCTTCTCTATTTTCAAGCTCTAATTTAATTTTTCCACCACAATACCAAAAGTAGCCTTCTAAACAAAATATTGATACGTGAAACATCTCGTGGTCTCCCAAAAAGTAATCTTGGTGTACTATTTAACACCTATGCTCACCATTTCCAAATTCAAATTTAAGTTTTTCACCGCAATACCAAAATTAAGCTTTCTAAATAAAATAATGATACCTAAACATCTCATGGTCCCCCAAAAAGTAATCTTGGTGCTTTATTTAACATCTTTCTTCTCTATTTTTAAGCTCAAATTTAATTTTTCCACTACAATACCAAAAGTAGCATTCTAAACATCTCGTGGTCCCCAAAAAGTAATTTTGGTGCACCATTTAACATATTTTCATAATCAAATTTAATTTTTCCAAAAGTAATTAAAATAATGATCTCAAAATCTAATAAACATCTGCTATATGTATATAGCAGTTACTTATAACTAATTTTTTTTTAATTCCAAAAACACGTCTAACCCTACATTTTTTCAAATGTATACTCGACTTTAATGTGTTTTTTACGCTTGGTCTATAATGTACTGTTTTTATATTGCAGTATAATAATAATTGTACTATTTTGTTTATTATCATAATTATTCATTAAAACACTTTTTTGAAAAAATTAAAAAATGCCTTTTAAATCCTAGATAAAATTTACTTTAATATGCCTAATTCATCGACCTCTTGTTTAACTCAAAGCGTACAATAAACTTTCGATTTTGTTTACAAACATATAAAATTACAAATAAACAAGAAACAATCAACAATGAAAATTACACTGAACGTTTTACCTATTTATTAAAAAACCAAGTCAATGAATTTTATATTACAAAAAACTAATCTCAAATAAAAAACAAACAAGCCGAAAAATTAGTATATAACGTAAACCCGTAAAAATAATGTCAGTATCATCAGTGATAAACGTCTACAATGTTCTTAATCAAAAGCATTATATTTGTGGCACTTTTCAACTTATACAGTGCAGCCCCGATAAAAGAATGTGGATTCTGATGCCCTGGGAGATGGCCTATTTAGATATGGTTTACGATGAAACACATCCACAGGTGGCAAATGAAGAAACACACACGGAAAGTCCTTTGCTTCCGTTTGAACCAGTTGGTGGTCCTGGGGAAGATGACGATGAGGCAGCAAATGAAGATGCGAAGTTATCCAACAAAGATAAAGAAGGTAGTGTAGGTGTAAATAATTCTTCGATACCTTTGGACAAGTTTGGTAATGCTACTATGAAACCAGTAAATGCAGTAGATGATGATGGAAGTAAAACTGGAAATGTTGATGCTAAAAATGACTTTAAAGAACACATTGATAAAGAAACTGCAGATCATTCCAATGAATTTAGTGGTGAAGATATGGTTGACTCAGATGAAAACTCAAATGGTAATAATACAGTTACAGAAGGACCTAAAGAAAATTCGAAAGAAGCACATTTCGAGACAACAATTCAACCTATAAACACTGATACTACTGAAGTTAACGCTGGACCAACTGAAGAAGACGATATCTTACCAATTGTCCCAAATAACACAACAGGAAACCTATTTGTTCCACTTTTGATGTGTAACAACGAAAAATGTATAGTAACAACAAGACACATCAATGAAATTTACAAAATTTTAAAATGCCCCAAAGGAAAATGTACCTAATTAATTGTACCACAAACTTAGTTCAAATAAATATATTCTTGCCTACACACTGTATAGTCTTAACAACATAACCACAATGATTTTATTTACGCTTACAATAGTTTTTGCGTTTTTTATTCCTTGTAAAGCATTTAGTAGCAACGTCGATGATAATGATTACAACGACATAAACACATTACAAGTCTGCGTTTGTGTGCCTTATTGGCAATGCAAGGAAGATTTTAGCGGTCTAATCGAAGAAGGAGTCGGTATTGTTGATATAAGGTAAAAGTGTTGTACAGGGTGTGTTTAATTAAAGTGTAACTGTGCATTATAGGAGTTTACTGAATAGCAATCAAAGTGAGCCACCGTGCACTGGTGACTTTGATGTGTGCTGTAAGATAGAGTGCGGCAAACGTAGAAGCATCCCGAAGGCTGAGAATAAAAATATAGGTAATTGCACGAAACAAACTATAAAAAATTTAACTACCCTATGGTGGTCCATATATGGACCACCATAGGGTAGTTAAATTTTTTCTGACCTATACTTTTTATGGTTTTATTCAAGGCGTTTTGTAATTTTAAACATTTCTGTAAAATCGGAATTTCAATTGAGTTTACCGTTTTCGAGATATTTACAAAAAAATCTCCTAATTACGTCTGGTCAATTTTATACCTGTTAATATTATAGTTAAGTAGTATTATTTTTATGATCAATTGTATACCTATTTATTTTATAGTCCTAGGATGACATTACAATGTTACAAATAATGTCCATCCTTGATTGGCTGTCAACCCTAAGGGCGGGCATAACTGTTTGCCTACGTCGCAACAGCCACTTGATTTAAGGGGTATAACTTTCACTTCTTTCACATATTTTAAGAGTCAATATTAAGCAGTCGTAAGATTAACATGTTCGCTTCAGGATCAGCAGATCTCTGGGCAACATTTTTTATTGTACATAGTTAATAAAGTTGTGTTATTTTAATTAAGTGAGTGTTTCAATCAAATTGCACAATCATCAATAATTCGTGATCCATCAAGGATTCAATTTACAACCTCATTTATGGTTCATCAAGCCAGTTTAATTCACAACAATTAACGTCACAACAATTCACAACAACGTCACTAGGCTATTGACAACGTTGCCAGCTTTTTCTATGGTTGCCAGTGTGTTTAGTTTAAGATTCTTACGATAGATGGCGCCACGTTATAATATTTTAGTTTTAGAACCACTTGATCTATAATTTTAGTTGAGAAGAAGAAGAAGAAGAATTGATTTTTTGACGTTTCTTTTTTTCGGGTTATGTTTTTTTTTTAAATTTAGATTATTGAAAATCAATGTTATACATAACCGAATGAAATCATTAACAAGACAACTTGACAACAGGGTAATTTTCAACCAATAGAAATCTTAGAATGTTGGTCACATGGCGAGGTTTGTGACGTCATAAAAATTTATATTTTTTGTAAATATCTCGAAAACGGTAAACTCAATTGAAATTCTGATTTTACAGAAATGTTTAATATTACAAAACGCCTTGAATAAAACCATAAAAAGTATAGGTCAGAAAAAATTTAACTACCCCATTGCACGAAACAAAATGTGGACCACAATATATACAATAAATCTAGGGTTTAGGATTATCGGGGCAGACAATGACGCCACATTTGGGGAGTTTCCTTGGATGCTGGGTGTACTCCAGGATAAAACTTACAAATGCGGGGCTTCCCTGATTCACCCACAGGTGGCGGTAACAGCGGCGCACTGCGTGGGGGGGAGAAGGCCTTATAAAGTCAGGGCTGGCGAGTGGAATTGGTTGGTTAAGGATGAACCGTTGCCGCATCAAGATAGAATAACGAAAAAAGTAAGTTATAGGTATTAAACTTTCATCGAAAACATATTCATTTATTATTCTAGGTTGTCATTCATCCGCAATATAACTCAGGCACCCTAAGCAATGATATTGCTCTATTGGTGCTAAGAGAACCCTTTAAACTAATGGAGAATGTTGGTGTGATATGTTTGCCTCCAAAACATCTACACTTGGAATCTCAAAATTGCGTTGCCACCGGTTGGGGTAAAAATTCGCATAAAAAGGGGTCATACCAAACAACTCTAAAAAAAGTCACCCTCCCTTTGGTACCAAGAAGCATTTGCTTGAGGTCTCTACAAGAAGCAATGCTGGGACCTTCTTTTATACTACACAATAGTTTTCTATGTGCCGGTGGCGTCGGTAATAAAGATACCTGTAAAGGGGACGGAGGTAGTCCTTTAATTTGTCCGGTAGAGGGCGACATGGGGAAGTATCAACAAGTGGGTATAGTGTCTTGGGGTCTTACTTGTGGGGTCATAAATACCCCCGGGGTATACGTCAATGTACTTGTTTTTAGAGATTGGATTGACAATGTTATGACTGGGGAAGGTTTTGATACAAATGTTTATAAATATTACTAAATAAAAGTTTATTTTATTAATACCGTTGAGTAAAGAAGTCATTCCTTAGTCAGTGTTAATACTTTAAAATGTTACATTTTAAAAATGTCTAAAACATAAATGATAACAACTCTAAACGCCTTTTACAAATTTTTTAAAACTGATATAACATAACATGATATGTAAAAACCTGTCAAACATTTATTAAATGCCTTTAAATATCTTTCAGACAAGGTTTTAACCACAAAATTAAATTTTTCATCGTTTATTTCATTCTTTTTACTCAGATAAAATTAGGACACAGGTTAAACTTTAACATTCAATTTGTGTAAATAAATCCAAAAGCACTTCCCTTAGTTAAGATATTTACAATCTGGGCCCATAACCTATAATTTTTTTTTGTATAAAAACGCCAAATTAACAATTTTCATTGTTAATTTTGTTATTTGTAATTAAGCCAAATTTAAACAAAATTTAGCAACTTTTTCTGACAGAATCTGGAAACGCTGGTTGTTACCAACCATAACATAATAAATTAAATTAGGCAACCAGATTAGCCTATAGTTCCTAGTCGATCAGTGGCGTACTTTTTGGTTATTATAAATTATTTTTAGTCTTTAGAATTTTTTTATTTCTATAATTGCAAAATAATATTACAAAGTAAAACTTATAAATACCTACCTATAAAACTTATAAATACCTACCTACTCCAAAATTTTTATTTAATAAAAGACTATAAAAATTTTATATTGTTTTATTTCAACACTCCAAAAATATAACATGAAATAATCAATTTGTACTCAACAATAAAATATGGCACTATAAAATACTAATCACTATTTAAAATAAAATAAAACCCCTTTTAACTTATCGTGCAGTCTAGCTCCCCGTGCTTCGGGAGACAATCGAGGGTAACGGCAACAGCGCGCGTCATGTACGTCATGGTACCGTATGCGCCGCTAGGGGCGCTGTCGTAGAAATGCTGGCAAACGCTCGCAGCGCCCCCGCACAGCAAACCGTTCCCCTCCCTGTAGTCTTTGCTTTTGGCGCAGCACAAAGTGGCGTCACCATTGTTCTTGATCTAAGGGGGTTACAATGGGGTAGTTAAATTTTTTCTGACCTATACTTTTTATGGCTTTATTCAAGGCGTTTTGTAATTTTAAACATTTCTGTGAAATCGGAATTTCAATTGAGATATTTACAAAAAAAATCTCCTAATTACGTCACTAGGCTATTGACAACGTTGCCAGGTTTTTCTATGGTTGCCAGTGTGTTTAGTTTAAGATTCTTACGATAGATGGCGCCACGTTATAATATTTTAGTTTTAAAACCACTTGATCTATAATTTTAGTTGAGAAGAAGAAGAAGAATTGATTTTTTGACGTTTCTTTTTTTCGGGTTATGTTTTTTTTAAATTTAGATTATTGAAAACCAATGTTATTGTTATGTTATTTGTAATTGATATTATTGATAACGGACTCCAAAGCAGAGGAATCTTGTGGAATGGTTGGTTACATTGAACATTGGAGCTTTTAAACAAATAAAGTAAGTACCTATAATTATAATCATATTTTGTCCGTAAATGCATTTCATTAGTATAATGCCTAGTTCTTTGTATTCTTTTAGATATATCTTGGACTCTAAAATATCAAACAGTAATATGATACCTCGTAATAAGGAAGATAGGTACTTAATGAATTTGGTGACCATCTTTCACTCAACTGACAGTGAAAGTATTTGTACATAACCTCTTCGGGTATTTTCTGACATAACCGAATGAAATCATTAACAAGGCAACTCGACAACAGGGTAATTTTCAACCAATAGAAATCTTAGAATGTTAGTCACATGGCGAGGTTTGTGACGTCATAAAAATTTATATTTTTTGTAAATATCTCGAAAACGGTAAACTCAATTGAAATTCCGATTTCACAGAAATGTTTAATATTACAAAACGCCTTGAATAAAACCATAAAAAGTATAGGTCGGAAAAAATTTAACTACCCCATTCGTAAATAGCACGTCACGGTTTATTAATCTCACCTGGTTCTCCAGGAACAGGTTGTTGGCGGCATGCACCAAAGCTTCCACTTCGATCACGCCCCCTAGCGTCGGGGAGACGTTGTACTCCGAAACTAGCGTCAGCACCATCAGACTCTCCACTATCAGTTGTCGGTATTCGGGCTGCGGAATCGTGTTCAGAACCGTTTCGACGGCCAGCGCGAATTTTAATTCTCCCGGGGTCATTTCTTGCGTGAGGGTTTGCGGTAGCACTTTGCCCGCAATCGAGATACCTTGACACTAAAATAAAATAAAATAACAAGGCCAATGGAGACCTAAAACCACAGACCACCAAAACAAATGGACGGCGCATTGCCATTCAATAACAATGCTTTGTTTGCGGTCAACAAACGGTCACAGTCTAAGCGTCAAATTGGAGATAGAATTTTATGTTTTCTTCCAGTGACGTCAACAAACGGTCACAGTCTAAGCGTTAAATTGGCTATAGAATTTTATGTTTTCTTCCAGTGACGTAGTGCGTACTCCAAAAATAATAATTAGGTAGGTACTTACAAACGATATTTCCATGTATTGTTATTTTTAGTAAAAAATAATGTATTTAAACTCCATAATTAACTTAAACAAGATAGAAATACACAAACGAAAACACAAAACAACAAGCTGTCAACCTTTTTCTATGCTGTCAAATATGACGAATTTACCAACGTTGTTAATATTTAATTTTAAAAATGATTTACTTTCTTTAAATAGAGAAAAATATCTAAAGAAAATGATGAACAAATCCTTTTTACAATTTTTTTATTATTCAAACGAATTACTGGTAATTATTAATGTTCATTATGTTATGATGAACGTTCAAAAAGGCGTGTAATCTATACTTCTGACAACGTTGGAAGCCGTGTTTCTTTCGACGGTGTTTAGAATGTGAAACTATGCTTTACTCGCTTTTTAAACGTAAACAAATCCGTCCATTTGTTTTGGTGGTCTGTGCCTAAAACTTACCCTCTCCAGTACTCCCCACACTCGGGGATAAAAGTCCCTGGGCACTCTGTTTAGAGCGCCGTCTAGCCGCCTGCGCCTCAACCACTGACCTTGACGGTCGGGTTCGTGCAAATCGTCTGCGGCGGCCGCGTCTCCAAGGCTGATGTGACTGCGCTTGCTGATGCGGCTGGATTTGTTGCTGACGATGGAAAAGTTGCCCCTGCCCACTGAAATTCGTTCGTTGTAGTATAATTAACTTATCGCTTGTTTGGGATATCTTTACCGCTGCTTATGGCGAACTCTTTGCCGCTTATGATGTGGTGCAGGAGGTTCTTCATTTCGAACGGGCTTAGGTTTAGTAAATGTTCCGAAGCTTCGTCGCCATCGCAGATTAACGTTCTGGATAGTTCTGTTGCCATTACCTTAAGAATTGTTTCATATAAAACTTTTTTAAATATATTTTTTATGTCTAATATTACAAAATTTTCTTTAAGCTGTTTGGAAAATATTCCGAAACGCTAAAAAAACAATTATATCTAAATACCCTAAAATATTATTATAGTTGAGATAATGCACAATGTGACATTTCATTTTGGTGAGGCAGAGCCCTCATTTAAAGGCGAATAAATTTTTTTAAACCCAACTAGGTTTACCAGGATTGATTAATAGATTACTTAAATCTGGACGAGGGACACCAAATTCCTTAACAAACATTTTATCATCGAAGAAAGACGACTAAAAGGAAACCTAAAGAAGGAATCTGTATTTATTTTATTGGTTACCGTGATGGCTACAAGATAGCGATAGTGTTAAAATATGTTTATTTTAGAATAGAAATATAATTTCGATTAAATCGATTTATTATAAGAAAAATAATACCATTTATTATTGATTTTTGAAAAACGTGTGAAGTATAATTTATCTAAAATTCCGCAACAGTGTTGCCACAACACCTGCTTATTTCCTTGGATGTAGGCGTGCCTGCCTCGCGTATGCTAATACGAGAGAAGGAGACAACTATGATATCGCATTGTAATAACCACAGTCTGTGGTAATAACGCTAACGCCAATCGTGAGTCTAAATTAGTTCAGGCATGCTTCTAGCTATAAATACTAGTTTAAATTGCGGTCGTTTCAAATTCAAATAATTTAAATTTTGCTGGGTATTCCACGTATAAACTCAATCAATTTTATTGACTATTTCACAATTCGTGTAATCCAAATATTAAAAATTTATAGTATATTATAGAAAGTCAAATATTTAAGTTATACTTAATTTTTTAATTCTCACTGACGCCGAATAAAATACTATGTTTTTTCTACTGCAATTAAGGTACCTTTAGGTAAAAAAAATATATATTTTTAAGTTATTTTATAGTTTTTTTTAAGTCAAATTTCATAAAAAAAATATTTCAATATTTCAAGTAGATTTTTTACAGCACAGATTCCAATAAAATAGTATTTTCATGACACGCGCAGCGAAAATTCGACTTTCGCTGCTTTTGAGCGACGCGAAAATGGCGAAAAAAATCCACTGTAAAGTCGCTTGAAGTATTTGAAAAAGGACAACTTTGTCGACATGTTAAACAAATATTAGAAAGATTCCCCAACACTTATTTTAAGCACTTTGTGTTTTGTTTTGGTGTTGGGCAAGATTTTTAGTATTTGTTGATGAAAAATAGTCCCCCACTAAATAAATTCAGGCCTTTCAAATATTTAAGTTTATCTCTTAATTTGACCTAAGTCAAAAGTTAAAGCCTTCTTTCTAGAAGTCTCTAATATTACAAAAATTCCTTTAAGCTGTTTAGAAAATATTCCGAAACGCTATAAAAACAATAGTATCTAAATACCCCAAAATATTATTATACTTGAGATAATGCACAATGTCATTATGCATAATGACATTGTGCAGTAGAAAAAACATAGTATTTTATTCGACATGTCGAATAAAATACTATATTTTTTCTACTGCAATTAAGGTACCTTTGGGTAAAGAAAATATGTATTTTTAAGTTATTTTATAGTTTTTTTAAGTCAAATTTCATTAAAAAAATATTTCAGTATTTCAAGTAAATCAGATTTTTTACAGCACAGATTCCAATAAAAAAGTATTTTCATGACACGCGCAGCGAAAATTCGACTTTAGCTTTTTGCGAAAAAAATCCTTGTAGTATTTGAAAAAGGACAACTTTGTTGACATGTTAAACAAATATTAGAAATATTCCCCAAAACGTATTTTAAGCACTTTGTGTTTTGTTTTGGTGTTGGGAAAGATTTTTAGTATTTGTTGATGAAAAATAGTCCCCCACTAAATAAATTGAGGCCTTTCAAATATTTAATTTGACCTCAGTCAAAAGTTAAAGCCTTCTTTCTAGAAACCATTTAACCCCGTATCTTGAAGCCGATCCCTTCGTCATTTTAGGTTGGTACGAATCCAGTCAATTTTGACCGATGGTCTTTAATAATTTGTCCCTTACCTGTATTATAAGACCGACCCTCAACCTGAGCATCTCGAGGAACAGCTGCGGCTCCGTCCTGATGAACATGGCTAGGTAGACTAGCAATTCCTGCGTCAGCATTGCGGTGCTGTCGTCCTCGCCGTATGCCTCGTGAATGAGCATGCGCAGGTCGCTCTCAGGGAGCGGCGCGGTGATGGTGTGCTCGTTGTTGGGCGGCATTCCCACCGTGATCTGCTTCTGCCGCACCAGCAGGTCGGTTACGGACTTGGCCAGGTCTTCCACCCTCTTGCCAAGCATGCCTGCCGTGTGGCGCACCAACCCCCACATTTTCTGCTGGCACGCCTTCTCGTACAAGCCCTTGAGCAGATCGCGGACCGTCACGACCTTCCCGTACTCCAGCATGCCGGTGTTGTACTCCAAACCCTTGGAGTCCACCAAGTACTGGAGAATATCCCCCTGCTCGTCGAGAGACTCGGTTTCCCTCAGCATGGCGAACAACTCCTCGACTTCCGTGTCCGCGTACTGAGTCTCTGAGTTGGCCTTGTGCCGAGACACGCTTATCGCGGGGACTTTCGGTTTTTCCGGCGATAATACGTCCTCTTTTTTCCTCTTGCGTTCCTCGGGAGACGGCGATCGCAAGTAGTCGCGGTGATGGGGGCTGTCGACGGTGTCCTGCCAAGAACCGAACCACATCGACCCGCGTCTCTCCAGGCTCGCGTTGCTCTCCATACCCAGAGTTTCCGCTGAGAAAACAAATGTATACTAGGGTGTCCCTTATTTTTATTTTTTTTACGCATACCCTCTAATTATGTTTATTACTTGTTTATATACTCCCAGTAAAAATTTCAGCTCATTCTATAAACGGGAACCCGTGCCGACTTGCATCTAAACTCTCCGTTAGCCAACGTTAGGCGCGCGCGGTATTTTGTAACACGAAACACTTTAAAAAGAAGATATACTTTATGACTGTATTTTTCTAATGATTTTATTAAATATGATTACTAATTAATATTATTGCTTTTGTTTCACTAATTTAGTTGATTTTATCCCTTAAATATATTAATATACTAATTAGTATTGCTAAAATAAACTGTTATATGAAATTTCAGCTTTTTATAAGCATTTCTTTTCTTGATGTCCTCCCAAAAATATTTCAGACAGTTTAATAAGTTTTCGGTAGTCATCTCTCACAATAGACTCTTTTAGTTATTTGGAGTAAAACCCATTAAGTTTATCAATTTCAGAGTTTACGGCCTATTCACCAGACCCTTCCGGATAACTAGCCACTCCCTGTGAAAATATACATTTTTATCAAAGTATACACATAAATAAAATTATATTTTAACATTTGTCAATAATTTATAATATAAGGGTCACATAATAACAAACACAAAATGACTTACGATCGAAGACCTCGCGACCAACCGTGTTACAAAATACCGCGCGCCTAACGTTGGCTAACGGAGGGTTCAGATGCAAGTCGGCACGGGTTCCCGTTTATAGAATGAGCTGAAATTTTTACTGGGAGTATATAAACACGTAATAAATATAATTAGAGGGTATGCGTAAAAAAATAAAAAAGGGACAACCTAATGTACACAAATTCCGGGTACTAAAGTCGCGGCCAAATCTGTATCATCAACTTTGAATTTTAAAGTTACTTCTGTTAAATTTGCTTTGGGTATTTCCATTGTAACGGGTGCGACACTAAAACTGCGTTTTTTCATGATAATAAAGTGTTTGTTCATATATATCAAGATACGTTAATATACAAAAATGGTATAAAAAATTAGGTATTTAACTCAAACAAAATGTCAATAAAAACTTGTATAGAAAACCTTTTATAATGTCATGAATAGCGCAACGGGCGCGACCTTGCTGAAAGCATAAAGTAATAATTTTTTGTGTAAAACTTGAATAGTAACCTTAAACAAGCACGTATTTTAAATGCACAAATATTGTATACTTTATTTTCTAAAATTTTCTCAAAATGTAACGTGTTTATTCTTAATGTTAGCTTCTTAAGAATATAAATTACGTCGCATTTAAACTATTTGACTTCAGATATAGTTGTTATTTTCTTAAATAACACATCTGATTTTTTGTAAAGTTGGGGTAAGGTTTCGTGGAAATACCCTTTTTTAAGCGTAATCTGTGTGAGAATTTCCCTAATTTAAAACGATTTTTTACGAAATTATGAAAATAAAACCATTCACTTGGTAATTTTTGTGTGTGCCAGTTGCTAATAGCTTAAGGCTGGCCCGCACCGTTCAATATTATTGATGAGTCACCGTCATTATATATTTGACGTTTTTCGTCCGTAAGCATCGTTTATTGCAGATTATTACAAACAATTTTATACATTGTGTTTATCATATTCTACCACTGAATTGGGTTAACAATGTTACAAGGCTTGTTGAAAACTCCCACAGTTATTAAATTGGGAAGACATTAATAACAAATTTGTAAAAATAATCACTCCAAGCCTGGCGACAGATACGACTGATAATTTAGTATTTTTGTGGTTTTGGTAGTTTAGTATTTTTTTGTTATGTATAATAAAAATGGAATTAACTCCATTTATCTATTTTGCGTTCATAATGAATTCACTATAACACCGCTTTCGGTGTAGTAATGAGATACTTTATCCCACCCAAAATTTTGATTTTATAGGTTGGCTATACTTTAAACAGCATAATATTTTGCGTATTGGTTATAATATTTTTATGATTTTCTAGTACTTACGAGACTTTTCTGGCAATAAATTTTGTTTAACACCAAAGAAAATCCTTTTTTTCTTCTTTAACCTTAACAGCCGCTTATTGTAAATAAGTAAATTAAGGACGGCATGGTAAATCGATTTTGACATTTTAACTGTCAAACCAATGACTGTGATACCAACTATCTAAAGTAAAATTCGACCAAATTAAATTTAAGGTTTAAAATTAATTTTTTTATATAATTTTTTCAAAATAGATAAAATAGCATAAAGAACCGCGTGCGACAAAATGACGTCTTATGACATTAGTTCTTTAATATACTATTATTTCCTCTCTAAACACATTTAATCAAAATTTCCCGTAACAAACTCCTAATTAGTCAGTATATATATAAAAGATTATAACAATGATGTTATAATTCCATACTTATAAAAAACAGTATGAATAGACCTTAACGCTGACGTCATATGCCGTAGATGCAGATTTGGCCGCGACTATAGAACAAACCGAACCGAAATTTTCTTACCACCTTCCGCGAGTAATGGATGCATGAAAATATCATCTTTTAAAGCAATAGAAAAACGATAATTCATCACCTAAAAATACTTACAATCAACGTTTATGGATCTAGTCTTCTTAACCGCCCCTCTGACCGACATGCGCCGCCTTAGATTCCTCTGTCTAGGCCTGCTGCCTGTCGGCATCAACAACGAAGACTTGTTTGAAATTGATTTCAAAAGGTGCTCTTCCAAATATTGGTGCACTTGGGGATTTAACTCTAATAATAAATACGTTAAAAATAATTCTAATTAAGGTGAAGACGAAAAACGTACTATCGGGAAGTCCATCCTCATGGCAACCAAGAAAACTGAGGTTTGCTATGCAGCTGGTGTTTAGGAAGTCGTTAAGGTTGCCTAAAGTTACCCTGGTACCGTTTATGTAACCAGATTTTAGTTTCTTCATGGTGGTAATCATGGCTAGAGGTAATTTACCTTGCTCTAAAAGTAGGCAAACATGATTTATTTTTATTGATTGTACAGGATGTTCAGAAACTCAAAAACCTTTTCTTTTTAAATTCTGAACACCCAGTATGAGCCCCATAAAAAATTTATATATGAGCCCTATTTGTTACATTCTATTCCCATTTCAAAAGTCATAAACATGTTATTTTAAAAACTGAAACAGGAGATAGTTTTGGTTAGTAATAGAAAAGTCCCTGTGTATTTTGTAAAGTTTTTCTTGCTGGAGGAGTCAGCACAATATACATGGTGTCAAACACATCAAATTCAAGAAAAATTTTGCCTTCACAGGAAACGGAAAATTATGGAAGTGTATAGGATGACGCCACGTTTGAATATAGCTTTCTAAATCTTTGTATTCGTCAGTCGAGCGTTTCAAGTTTTATTAATTAATTAAGCTGTGTCCTATAGGAATAATTGCCAATGGGCCATTAATTCATTTGTTCGTAGATGCTACAATAACCTGCACTGGTGTGTACTTTTTGATCAACCAGATTTAATTATTATATACCAGTGGAGATAGTTCAGGGTCTACCAACAGACCTCATTACTAAATTATTAAAGTTTAATAGGATATCGATCGTTTTCTCAACATAACCTCTGAATTTTTTAATACAAATATAAGTACTTTATATAATACTACATAAATATACTTTACATCATATCCTCTGTGCTTTACATACCTGAGTTGTTACGGTAAACAAAAATCAGGAACCAAAGAAAGGAACTGTTTTTAACAAAATCATATGCAGAAATGAGAATATTCAAAATACTTGCATCCATCAAAAGATAAAAACTTCTTGCAATATTGAATTACACCCTTTTTTATGCTCTCAGAAATATTGACTAGGACAGTATTAGGGAGACTACAGTTTCTATAACTTGGTAGAGTAAAGAGAAGTCGAAACCGTTGCGATATGGCATTGCGCTGTTTTTTATAATTCTCGGGGACATTAACGAAACTCATTGCCAGTAAAATTCGAAAAGCTTGAGTTTCTATGTCTCTGAAGAGAATAAGAATCCGAAGTTGCTGCACCATTGGACTGCCCCCTTTTTCAATAATTTCTAGAGCCATAAATGACTGCACCATTCGACAGGGTCGAGTTTCTACCTCTCTGTTGAATATAGAAAATCAAAATAATGTATATTGTAAGACACCATTGAGTTTGACTTTAACTATAGTTGTGCATAGGTATAGAGGCGAAAAATATAAAAACAAAGCATGAGAGAGTCATCCTATACACTTCTATATTTTTCCGTTTGCTGTGTTGGTGTAGTTCTTTTACTTTTTTATTTTATGTGTGGCCCTGAATCTCCCAACAAAAAAAACATATGGGGTGATTTTTTTGGGCGTTACCTAGTTGATCTCTGGAAGCGACAAGCGTGATGGTGGGCCGACCAAGCATGTTACGCCACGTCATTGCCAAAAAAGCCAGATGCATGACGACCTTGTCGGCTAGCAACGACATGTCGTGCGAAGTGTAATACCGGTCCAAGTCAAAATTCTACCACGAGGACATACATGCAAAACACCACAAAAAAACCCTGTTAGTGATTAAGTTGGTATTAAGTTGACAGCTGTCAAAAATTAGAGGTTATAAGCTCCCCACATGACCAATTAAAATTATCGAAATACCTAAGTGTAATCTTCTGCACAACACGGTTACTACAGGGCGTCCTAACATATTTTGCCAGCTGGATTTTAAGAAATTTATTTCGCTTTTGCAAATATCGATCATGAGTTCGTAATCGGAGGCTATATAGTTTCTAACCATGTCAGTAAACTAAATTAATAAATAAATAATAAAAAAATCGTTATAAATATTTTTATTGTAAGCCAAACTTACCTGCGGTGTAAAAGCGAATATTTTGTCTCCCAGAGAGTACAGTTTACTGGTGCTTAATATACCGACATCTCTTGATTTTCTTCCCGATAAACCCAATTTTTTGTTTCTCCCTAAAATTACCCTATTACACTTTGAATTCATTTGCTTCTGTCCTATCTCGTACTAAAAATACAAAAAATCACTGCACAGTTTAACGGCGGCCATTTTTGTTGTTTACAATTTTTGTGCTTGGGGTTTGTGCTCTGTTTATACAGATTAATAATCGTTTTAAACGTTGTGTTTCTCATAGTAAGCCTTAAAAGAGTCCTTAAAGTGCTAAGAACAACCATTTTACTCCTCTATTGTAAAAAATAAACTTTATTCTATCAGGGCTGTCATAAAACTGTCAAATGTCAATTTTAAGGTTAAATTATAACCCACAAATTAACCTTCAAATTGTCATTTGACAGCCCTGATAGAATAAGGTATATTTATTATAAAAGAGGAGTAAAATGGTTGTCCTTAGCACTTAAAGGCCTTATTTGAGGCTTACAAGTGCCTCTGTAAGAAACACAACGTTTAAAACAATTATTAAACAGCCAAACCCAAAGCACAAGAATGGGGTAGTTAAATTTTTTCTGACCTATACTTTTTATGGTTTTATTCAAGGCGTTTTGTAATTTTAAACATTTCTGTGAAATCGGAATTTCAATTGAGTTTACCGTTTTCGAGATATTTACAAAAAAAAATCTCCTAATTACGTCACTAGGCTATTGACAACGTTGCCAGCTTTTTCTATGGTTGCCAGTGTGTTTAGTTTAAGATTCTTACGATAGATGGCGCCACGTTATAATATTTTAGTTTTAAAACCACTTGATCTATAATTTTAGTTGAGAAGAAGAATTGATTTTTTGACGTTTCTTTTTTTCGGGTTATGTTTTTTTTTAATTTAGATTATTGAAAATCAATGTTATTGTTATGTTATTTGTAATTGATATTAGATAAGTGATTTATTAATAACGGACTCCAAAGCAGAGGAATCTTGTGGAATGGTTGGTTACATTGATCATTGGAGCTTTTAAACAAATAAAGTAAGTACCTATAATTACTATCGCTAACAAAAAAAACTCATACAGCTTAAAAATCTAGTGTTCCTGATTTTCTATCATTTTGTTGGAGTAATTATGGCTTTTAACATGATACGTCACATTTGAAAGGTGTAAAATTAAATACAAAGTTAGGTTGAAGTTTGAAAAAAAAATATTTCGTCATCTCTCTGTTTTTCTCAATTACTGCCCGCAAACAGCAAAGCATGGAAGTCGCCGTCTTGCTTTATCTTTTCCAAATGGCTTCAATGGCTTGCCAGAGTTCGTCTGCATTGTTTGGTTGAAAATGTTAAAAAAGTCATAATGGATGTGACAAAGCTCGATGTCAGCTTGATTTTGACGGAAAAGTTTTATTCACACAGCCACAATATAGCTGTATGAGTTTTTTTTGTTAGCGATAGTATAATCATATTTTGTCGTAAATGCATTTCATTAGTATAATGCCTAGTTCTTTATATTCTTTTAGATATATCTTGTACTCTAAAATATCAAACAGTAATATGATACCTCGTAATAAGGAAGATAGGTACTTAATGAATTTGGTGACCATCTTTCACTCAACTGACAGTGACAGTATTTGTACATAACCTCTTCGGGTATTTTCTGACATGACCGAATGAAATCATTAACAAGACAACTTGACAACAGGGTAATTTTCAACCAATAGAAATCTTAGAATGTTGGTCACATGGCGAGGTTTGTGACGTCATAGAAATTTATATTTTTTGTAAATATCTCGAAAACGGTAAACTCAATTGAAATTCTGATTTAATGTTTAATATTACAAAACGCCTTGAATAAAACCATAAAAAGTATAGGTCAGAAAAAATTTAACTACCCCATTGTAAACAACAAAAATGGCCGCCGTTAAACTCTGTGCAGTGTTGCAGTGATTTTTAGTATTTTTGGCATGGGATAGAATAGACCTTGTTGTGTGGATTGTGCACTCACCTAAATAGGTATAGAGATGGGACAACACTCTGGCGGGTTGCACCTCGATGGGAGCGACATCTGCGATAGTTTGCACGACTATGTCGTGCTCGGCCAATTTCCGCTTGATCTCGTCATCTTCGGCCAGAATTACGACTTGCACGACCACATCGGGCTTTTTTTCGGCGCACAGTCTTCTGTTTAAGGGATCTAGCTCTCCAGGTGCTAGAAAACCCTTAAAAAAGCAATAAAAATAACCTAATTTACTTACGAATAAAAGAATTTTCACCTCTTGCAATAGCTTGCCAACAATATACAATGATTGGGCCCACATAAACGGGCACTGGCCTAAAGCAATGCGATCCTGGGTTCCAGGATCTTTGTATTCTTGCGGTACCAACGCAGCTGGTACCGAGTACAGTTCAGGTACTAATCTTAGACCGTCGTCAGTTCTAACCATAATCTAAAAGTTACAAAGTTACAAAACGTTTAGTACATTTTAAATAGTAATGGAAATTTGAAATAATTTTTAACAGTTCTAACACAAGTTTTTAGTTAGTAGTTTGAGACAATTTTAGATCATTTTTGACAGTTCTAACAGTTTTGAGACATCTTTTATCTGGAATATATTTTTTCATTAGGTATTTTAGCAGTTTGGGAACAATTTAAAGACAATTTTAGAAAATTTTACGGGACAGGACTTGGGAGATAAGACATTTTGAAGGTTTTAAAACTATTTTAGGACAATTTTAGACCATTTTTGACAGTTATAAACCAGGTTTAGAACTTTTTGGATAGTTTTAGCTGATTTTAGGTCAACTTAAATAGTTCTGGCACAATCCTAAACCATTGATAGTTTTTAGTCAATTTTGCAATAGTTTGGGACAATTTTATGGGTTTTAGGACTTTTAAGATGATCTTAAGAAAATTTTTGATATTTCATCCTATTGTTTTAGTAGGATATTTTGGATAGTTTTAAACAGTTTTGGGAAACTTTTAAAACCATTTAAGGACAATGTTCACAGTTCTAAACCAGGACATTTTTGGAAAAGTTTAGGACAATATTAGGACTATAGATGGGTTTAAGCCGATTTTGGTAAATTTTTTAGTCAAGTTTTTTAGTGAAATATTAAAAAAGGTCCTGGGACAATGACTTTTAGGGCTTTTTATATGGTTTTAAGACTGTTTTTGAACTTTTTTAAGACACTTTTAAAACACTTTTGGACAGAAATAATATATTTATAAAGTCCTGGGACAATGCTAGAGCATTGACAGTTTTTTGACAATTTTGGAATATTTAAGGACAATTTTATGACTTTTCAGATGGTTTTAAGACTGTTTTGGAACAATTTTAAGACACTTTTAAAACATTTTTAGACCAAGATAAGACATTTTAAATAGTTTTAAAACCATTTAAGGACAATTTTCAAAGTCATGTTTTGTTTTGACATTTAAAAAGTCCTGGTAGAATGCTAGACCATTGACAGTTTTTGGACAATTTTGGAATATTTAAGGATAATTTTATGAGTTTTAGGACTTTTTAGAAGGTTTTAAGACTGTTTTGGGACAATTTTAAGACACTTTTAAACAGAGATAAGACATTTTAAATAGTTTTAAAACCATTTAAGAACAATTTTCACATTTCTAAACCAATTTTAGGACATTTTTGGAAAATTTTAGGACCATATTAGTACTTTTTGGATGGGTTTATATATTATAATAATAATTTAAAGTCCTGGGACCATTGACAGTTTTTGGACAATTTTGGAATATTTAAGAACATTAAAGGACAATTTTATTTGTTTGAGGACTTTTTAGAAGATTATAAGACAGTTTTAAAACATTTTTAGAAAGAAATTTAACATTTTAAGTAGTTTTAAAAGCATTTGGGGTCAGAATTTCTCAAACGGGCCACCTGAATTAGGTCAAAATTAGTTTTTGATTGTAGATACATTTTTTCGATAGTATTTTACATCACTAACACAAATCCTAAAGGATTTTGTAAAAAAAAAATTTTCAATTGACATATTCATGATATTAAAAGTAAAAGTTTTTAGTAATTAAAAAATAAAAAAAAATCATTATGGCTAAACTAATTATCCGATTCCAACGATTTAACTAGCGTTGGAATCTTGTTTTGACATAGATTCTTTGTTATTTTTTTCAATTGTAAAATTTTCATTAAGGTCGATTTTTTTTTGTTTTTTTTATAACAAATTCGGAAATAATTGGCTTCTGCGCCAGCTATCGACTCGAAAAAAAAAACACATATACTCCAATCATTTTTCGAAATTATGCTGCTGAGAAAAAAAATGGCCCGCAGGTTCCAGACCACCGTAAGACGTCGCGTCACAAGCGCGTACAGCGTACACGGTTCGGAGCGTGAGCTGACACCGCGCGCGGCCACAAAAGGACGAATAACTTTTTGTCAACCTGCGGGCCATTTTTTTTCTCAGCAGCATAATTTCGAGAAATGATTGGAGTATATGTGTTTTTTTTCTCGAGTCGATAGCTGGCGCAGAAGGCAATTATTTCCGAATTTGGTATAAAAAAAACAAAAAAAAATCGACCTAAATGAAAATAGGACAATTGAAAAAAATAACAAAGAATCTATGTCAAAACAAGATTCCAACGCTAGTTATATCGTTGGAATCGGATAATTAGTTCAGCCATAATGAATTTTTTTATTTTTTAATTATTAAAAACTTTGACTTTTAATATCATGAATATATCAATTGAAAATTTTTTTTTTACAAAATCCTTTAGGATTTGTGTTAGTGATGTAAAATACTATCAAAAAAATGTATCTACAAACAAAAACTAATTTTGACCTAATTCAGGTGGCCCGTTTGAGAAATTCTGACCCTTTGACAATTTCACAGTTCTAACCCAATTTTATGACATTATTGGAAAAGCTTAGGACCAGATTAGGACTTTTTAGATGGATTCAAGCCGATTTTGTGAAATTTTAGATCAAGCTTTGTTTTAGTAAAATATTTTAAATAGTCCTTATGACTTAAATAATTAACTAAAAATGGTCTGGCATTATCCCACACAGTGCTAGACAATTTTATAAGATTTAGGACTTTTTAAATGGTTTTAAGACAATTTTTTGGACTAGGTATTATTTAACCCTTTCAATACGACTTTTCGGAAATTAATTTAAAACTTTTTTATTAGTGTTAAAACTATATTTAGGTTAAAAATAGTTAATTGACTGAATAACAGATTTTTAACTTTGGTGGTATTTGAAAAAAAGGCCTGGGACAGATTTATCCCTGCAGTAATATGCCCTGGGATATATTTATCCCCACACTAAAGAAATTCTACTATTTTTGAAAATGTTTATTATCAAAAAACACTGATGGGATAAAACTATCCCCTGTCATATTACTGCAGGGATATTTTTGTCCCAACGTATATTTTGAGGAATGAGTTGTGACGTACAATGCACATAAAGTATCACAAAAATTCAAGCAAAATTTACACAAAAACTGCACAAAATAGGTTATGTGACTGGTCTTTTTCAATTTAGAGCGTGCAATGGCCGAAAAACAGCTGGTTATTGTTCACGTGACGTTAAATAAATTAAGTTTTTATTACTGATATCCCAAGTCAAGACATAGAAATACTAAATTGTCCCGACCCTGTTTTATTTAAACGCACTTAATTAAGTAGAGACATTTTTTAATTTTCTTTGGGACGTATATATACGTCCCAAAGAAAATTAAAAAATGTCTCTACTTAATTAAGTGCGTTTAAATAAAACAGGGTCGGGACAATTTAGTATTTCTATGTCTTGACTTATATACTATATATATACTATATATATATCCCCGCAGTATTGAAAGGGTTAAGTAGAATATTTTGCATAGTTTTTAATTATTTTGGGTTTATTTTAGAACATTTTTAAACAGTTCTTAAGAGATAAGACATTTTAACAGTTTTAGTATAGTATTGGAAAGGTTTAGGACCATTTTAGGACAATTTTGAGGTTTGGGATTTTTTAGATAGCTTTTACCCAATTTTAGGACATTTTTGGTCAAATGTTGTTTTATTAAAATATTTTAAATAGTTGTGGAACAATTTTGAACCATTGACAATTTTTGGAAAATTTTGGATGGGTTTAGGACAATTTACAGGACAATTTTAGGACATTGGAGGATAGTTTTAAAAGTTTTAGAAAACTTTTTGACCATTTTGGATTTTTTTTTAAACATTTTAGAAAAAATTGGGCAATTTAAGATTTTCGTTTTAGGACAGTTTTAAATCTTTTTAACAGTTTTAGGGCATTTTTGATATATTTAGTACATTTAGAACAATTTTGAGATGTAAAGGACTTTTTTTAATTTAATATTTTGATTAAAGTGGGGTTTTAATTTTAACTATTATTTATAAAGTAAAATAAATAAATATGGGTTTTAAACAGAAAAAAATATGATTGGCTTACCTCTTCCAACTGTGAGTTATATTCCGCCGCTAAATCTTTATTTCCGCGAAAACAATTGTCCAAAATGAGATAACAAAAAAACAACGGCCATTCACACTCAATATTTTCAAACATTCTTAACTCCCAAGGTTCATAGTATAAACGTCTAGGGTCCTCTTTGGGGGTTTTATAACCATCCCTCAGAAATCTTCTGCAACCATAACGTCCTTGAAGTTTATTGATGATTGTGTTACGGGTGTACTCTATTAAATCGGGGTCATCAACTGCAAATGCTGGGAAGCTTATGACGGAGAGTAAACCAGAGTCAATTTCCTTGGAGTTTGATTCTCGGGGAAGCATTGACTGTAATACTGCTTGGCATTTTTGTGCTTCATCTGCCAATACGTGGATTATACTATAAGGGCCCCCTCTGGCTCCAAATAAATCCAACTCGTTCATAGCTTCCAGAGCAGCTTTAGCCATTCCTATGCTGCTAGCGTTCAACTCGGGTAAACCGTGATTGGTTTTATCCCCTCTCTCCCATATACCATAATCAGGGGTGCAATAAGCACATTCAATGTAGAAAACCAAGTTTTGCACAAAGGCCACTTCGTCTAAATTAAACACGATTTGTAGACCTGATGCAGTCATTTGCGCCAATATTAACAAATACAGAGACACAGCGTCAATCTGCAAATGACCCCACTCATTATCACCAACAACACTTTGCCCCGTTTCTGATGAATACTTTGCATGCAGGGAGTCCAAAGGATTCTGCGTCAACTTAAAACGCTCCACCTTATCCTTTTGCTGCATCATGGCCATCAACAGCCCCCTCATTAGCTTAACGCAGCTCTGTTCGAGCTCATAGGTTTTTGCCCGATCTTCATCCTGATCCGCCATTTTTTTGTACGACATACTCAAACTCCACACCGCCAAAATGCAGTAAACATTATCCCTGATCCAGGCGTGATTTTTTTCCGGACTCAGTGGAAACAACCCCGTAACCGGGTTTTGATGCGCCATTATTATTTTGTGCACCATCCTCTGATAATAGTCCAGGCGGACGCCAGAGTTGCTTCGGCTCCGCATTTTTATTATCTGACGGAAATTTGGCCAAACAAAACTTGAAACTATAATTAGAATAAATAAAAACACTGCAATGACATTTCAATGACGATTTTGACAGCTGTCAAAATTATTTGTTGGTTAGGGGGGCGTTCCGTAATGATGGAAGAAGAAGAGTTTTCCAACGACGTTGAAAGCAATAGAGATATATTAATTATAAATCCATAATTCTACCAGTGACGTTGAAAACAATAGAGATATAAAACTATAATAATCAATAATTTTTATTATTATACTTATTAAACTATTTATTTATTAGTTTAATTATATAATTATGTATGCAGATAATTATTTTTAATTATGTTTCGTTTAAAATGCTTCAGCCTAATAAATACAGGTTTTAGGGTTATTTTTAGATGTTTGGAAGCTTTTAACATTTATTTTCGCATAATATTTGTAAAGCAAACACAAAATTATTAAATGATTGTTTTTTGATCAATTGTGAATTAATTTGGCATGGTTGCTTAACAATGGAATATTTAAAATTTGTAAATTGGCTTGAAAAGCACGCTCGATTGTAAGAGCAAATTTAAGAGCCACTTAATAATTCAAAGGAACTTGTTCTGTACCTACATTAAATTTTAATCGATTATATGACTTTTGGAAATAAATTTTATATTAATATTTAAAGCAGGATTAAAAAATATCGTGATATTTATTATATTTATGGATTAATAAAACACAGATTGTTTTCGCAATTTAGCCACTTTCGAGCACTCACTTTAAATGAATGGCACTTGGGTTAAATATTGCATCTACTAAGTGCAATTGATTAAATTTCCTTTACAAGAAAACTCGGGCAAAAAGCGGGCGTACCAACGTAATTTTAGTTGTATAAGTAGTTATGAATAATCCATAGGCGGCTTTTTAGAGTGTCCCTTTTGTCTTGGTGCAGGCTAAACTTATTTTAGTGCAGTAACAATAAAAAACATCGCTTCCCAAGTGGGTAGGTATAACGTTTCTAATATTGCGAGCGTTCTCTTTAAGCATTTGAATTTTACAACAGGTTATAACAGGTCTTAAAATACCGAAATATGTCTGAGAACCGGCCAAATTCATTAGATATAAATTATATGATCAAAATTTTAGAAATATATTAAAATTGTTTTAAAGTTGTGCCAATACTGGTTTAAAACTCAAATACAAAAAAAATAGCCTAAGGAGTTAAAAGGTTATCAATAAATATAGGCAACTAAGACTACAACCTAATGAAAATATCAAATTTTATTCGTAATAATTATTAATAAACTGTGTTGTTAAATAACACAATTTAAAAAATCTGAGTACATGGCATAAATATTAAAAATAAAACACTTGCTATTGTTTAAATAAAAAAATAATTATATTATGCGAAACTACTCTAGTATAAAATAGATTATGGGTATAATAGTTAATTATTATTTTCCAAGTAAGGCTGAGATGTATGCCCTGTAAAAAAATATTATTAAAATTTTATATTAAATAATAAAAATCCACATACCCTCTAAATCCATATGGGGACTAACATTCTCTGTTTTGTCGCTTTTGTGGCATGGGTCAGTTCCAGGTTCGTGGTGATGGTCTTGCACCCAACTTTTTATGGTGTGTAATCCACAGTGAACCCCATCTTTGACCACTTTCGCAGCCGACTTAACATCGTCGGTAAAATCTGATTTTATCGAAGCAATCAAAACCAAAAAGGTTAGGAGCAAAAACGTTGTTTTTAACACTGTCATTTTGTGAACTAATGTTTTGCGAATGAATGCATTAATTTGTTTATCTGTTTTGTTTAGTTTGGTTCAATAACAACACTATTTTAATGAGCTAGAAAGGATTTCTTAGAGGTTATTTAAGTTGTCGTCCTTGTTTCTAACATATACAGTGTGTTTCATCATATAAAAAGGATATATGTTTTATTTTCAAATTAAATCTTTTTTATGTTGTTGTTAAATTTAAAGTTAATTAAATAATTTTAAAACAAATAAAACACATGTTAGGTTAGGTTAGTTGCTTGTAGCCAAATCTACCTCAGACAGATGTTTATACCTCCTTACAAACTTATTATCAACATATTTATTATCCATTAAAAACTCATTAAACAATGAGATCAAAATCCCAATTTATTTTTAAATTTAATCAACACGAAACCTTTAGTATATACTGTGTATCTTACGAATAACGAACATGTACAAATTGTCGGTTATTTTATTTTGTTTTTATTTGTTATCTACGCAGATATATTGCGGGAAAATCCAGTACACGGACAAATGCCAAAAATATAACTCAAAACACAAAACCGAATTGTGCAAATGGGGCAAAAATAGTGGTTATTTTAACCAAGGTATGTACAAATATATATATATTTTTCAAAGTTCACTTTCTGTTAATAATTATATTTTTTTAGTAACAAGTACAGAGATATATCCTCAAGATTCAAAAATGTATTTCCCCACCGAAAAAAATACAAACTCTAGTAACAAAAACACCATAGAAACAGTAACTATAGAAAATAAAAATATTTTTAAGACTGAACCTAAATGTCCCGAGGGATTTAAACTGGATCAAACTGGAAAGTGCAGGGAAGAAATGTAAAAAATTAACTAATAAATTAATTTTAATTATGACTCTGTAGCTTTATTTTCTATTTCCTTATCAATAATTTTTATTATTTTGATTATATTTCGAAGTCTCCACAGCAACATTAGAGATAAACTTATTTTGATCTTTTAGTTTAAATAAATTTGTGAAAATGAAAGTCAAAATTTTTTTGTTCCTGTGTATTTTATGCTTGGGCAATGTGGAGGGTGGACTTATTTTCAAAAAAGTTGAAGAAACAGTGGGGAAAGTTGGATGCAAAATTCATAATATCAGGATGAAAATTTTTCATAAAAATGAAAATACCAATGATTGTGCTTATGGAAATCAGGAGGAAAACCATGGTATTAAAGGTAAATATTTAGTTAAATTAAAAAATATATATTTGGTAATTGGTTGTTCAAAAATTTGAAATGTTTCAAAAAAAAGATTTCTAAGGAACACATTTGTTTCAGGAAAACCAGAGCTAGCTTTTCCGGATATAAAACAAAATGAAATTGATGATACACATAGCCCAATAAATAACTACAACAATAAAAACACTTATATTCAAGAAAATATACCCATTTCTTCAACTTCAAAATATATTTCCACAAGTGAACCTCAAATAAACGAATATCAAAATAAAAACAACGATATTGTTGAAAATATATTAAATTATTCTTCAACATCCACATCTACATCTACAGTTACCTCTACTTCAACATCCACAGAAACGTATCCAGAGATTGACATAAGATATGAAGATGATGAACAAAAAAGTACCAACAAATCTGTTCCACTTCCAGGCGGGAGAAGAATTATTGGTGTTAAGGATAATTGTCCTGAAGGACAAGCTTTTATTTCCGGCTCATGCAGAGAAGAAATGTAAATAAATCTCATATTTTGTTTAAATAAATTAATTCAACAAAAATAGTTTTCAATACTACCCTAACAGCCTTTTACAGAAAAAAGTCAATGGCAACTTCTAGGTGGCCAATTTTGTAGTCTTGGTCATTTAAGTGACAATATTTTGTTGTTGATAGTTTCAGTCTGAACTTGAATTTTAAACCACACAAGGTTTTGTTGGTACACTCTTTATAACCTAATTTACTCCTTCTATTAACTATTTCATAGTTAATGGTAAACAAAACAATTCCAATTTTTTTCTAATTAAACCAGGACATCGACTGCTTATCAATCTAACTCTTTGACCACTGATGATCCCGTATAAAAGCGATAACGATAAAATTTGTCAAGCAGTATTAGATAAATCTTCAGAGTCCAAAAATCGTAAAAATGTGCCTCAAGTTTTTCGTTTTCTGTTCTTTAACGGTGCTAGTGGCTTGCCAGTACTACCAACAACCTGTCGGATTTTATCCTCAGTATCAACAGTATCCGCAGCAGTATCAACCACAGTATCCGTATCCGTATTGGTATAATCAGCCTCAAAATGCTGTGCAATATCCGTATTATCAAAATTATGGACAATATGGGCAACAAAATATACCATATCAAAATTTTGTGAACCAAGCACAACAAGCTAACATAGCTTCACCAAAAATATCCGAAGTATCCCCTGATATAAGAACGGCATTCATCCAAAAATACAACCTTACTGGGTATAATTTGGACAAAATACCAACCGCACAACGTCAAAATTTCCCCGGTTATACCATAAAAGTAACAAACTCATCGTCGTACTCAGCTTCGCCACAAAAGTTCGTGAAACACACTGTATATCAAACTAAACCCATCACTACAAAAATATTCAGACAATTCAAAACAAATGGAGAGGAGGCTTTAAAACCAATTAAGCTGAATTTAAATATTGTCAATGGAGTTGAGGTTACTGAGAAACCCACCACTGTCGCAGCTGAAGCCATTGAAGCTGAAACCACAACGTTTTTGACGACTACGACTGAAAGTGAGGAACCTGATAATGTTGACAGTTGGTTAGGTTAAAATTGTTTCTTTTGTTTAATTAATAATAAAGGGTTTTTAGTTTTGTTTATTTATTGATTTTACCTTTGATTTGTCATTACAAAAGATAAATGATTAAAAAAATCGTAATTCCAACTAAAATATTACACATCCAAAAACGTAATTAAAATTAGGCAACATTGCTATGAAAAAATTTTTGACAGTTCAATTTTTTTAAATACCCATAATCTTTTTAAAACGTACAATAATTTTCATAGTAAAACACTCAAAGTCTGTATAAAAAGACTTCAAATTAGTAACAGTTCAAAAGTCAAATTAGTATTAAACTTAGTACAGAAATAAAGCTAAAATTTCATCATGTCAGTTGAACCTAACCCAAAAGTGATGGGACAAAATTAATTAAATGCTTGAAATAAAATTGTATAATGTACTTACCTACTATTCTCTCTAAATATCTAGAAAACGTTATATGCTATTTAAAAGTTCCCAGAAATGGTTTAGATTTTAAAATAAGAAACATAATCACCTCAAAATAAAAATCACTTGTTGCCAACATTATAAACATAAACTCTGACAAAACAAGGATACCATCATGCTAACAAGAAATCAAGAGATAATATTGAAACAGCCAAAATAAAAATAATGCTATCGCAATACAAGGCAAAAATTAATACACAGATTATAATTTTAAAATCGTAATTTAAACAAATTAACATCAATAGTAATTAAATACGGCAAACATGAGGTCGTTAATTTGTGTTTTACTTTTGTGTACATTGGTTTTTTTGAAAATTTCAGGCCAAGTAACGAAAAAAGGTCGCAGATTGATAGATGTTCCAGAGAGTTGTCCTGAAGGGGAGAGTTTTGCTAGGGGGCAATGTTTTTCATTGTTTATGTCTATCCCGCGTGTCCAGAACAACACTGGGGTCAAAAATGCAACAAATGTAAACAAAAATGCAACAAATTTAAACAGAAATTCAACATTTAATGTGGCTTTAACAACGACAACAACACAAAGGTTAGTATAAATATACATATCAGGCAATAAAATTGTATTATTTTCTAAATTTATAATAACGTCAAATATTTTTTTATTACAAACACATTTTACGTGAACATAACTTCAATAAAATATGCAATTTTTGGTTTACCTAGTGCAACAAATATTTACAATGGTCCATCAAAATATAAACATAAAATCAAGAATTACAACTTGAAAATAATTTACCTTTAAAAGCTCAAGAGAAATATTTCCAAAACTTTTAACAAATTATCAAAATAGAAACGATTTATACGCATAAAGGGCATATGACGATAACTCTCGAATTTCTCTTAAACTATTTAAAATAATTTATTTTTATCATTTACCTACCTACTTAAGCGACTGAAAAAAATAATTTCACTGACGCACAGTAGGCTAGAGCGCGCTTCCAGCGCGAAGAAATTCAAAATAAGTAAGTGTTTTATTTCGACCAAATTAAGGGAATTTTGAATTCTTTAATATCTGTAGATAATGAAACATCTTTAAATTACCTTCAAATCTGTTGAATTTTTATCAGGTAACCATTCAAAGTTTAGGAATTATAATTACTTGCTTCCTGTTGATAAATTGCGCGTAAAGGTATTGCTTCTCTTACAATGTTTATTATTAATTTATTCATACTTTTTGACTATAATTGTATTAAATATTGTCATACGTTATGGCTGGAACGAATAATGGTTAGTTTTTATTATTATTGTACTGTCACTACCTTAATAAAGTAACCGCTGCATACTTTTAATGTATGTATGGAAATTATTAAGGTTTTAAAAAATGTCACTAACTGTCACACTTTGTGTTTAGGTTTTTTTAATAGCTTACCCTTCTGTCTTTCAAATAAATCTTAAATCAAGTGCTAGTAGGCGCAACAAATATGGTTTGTTTATTTTTTTCAGTTAATACATTATCCCTAACTCATACGGAGCTTTGTGAAAAGTGTTTTATTTTGAAGCATTTCAATATAAAATTAGTTTTAAATTACTTAGTAGACTACCCATTTTCAAAAATAGATGTATCTCGAAAAAAAAAATTATTCAATTTTTTTTTTAATATAGAAAAACGCTGGAAGCCCAGAAGAAATATCATTGTATTAAATATTGTCATACATTGGTGATGGAAACCATCAATTAAAAAGCTACTAATAACAATTAATAATTTTAAATTAATTACTGATAACTATTAGTGAATATTAATACTTTTTGCCACCACCGCGGTAGGCTAGAGAGCGCTTCCAGCGCGCGAAAATTTAAAATGAGTAAGTGTTTTATTTCGACAAAATTTAGTGAATTTTGAATTCTTTAATATCTGTAGCAAATCAAATAATGTTATATCACCTTCAAATCTGTTGAATTTTTATCAGGTAACCAGTCAAAATTTAAGAATTATAATTACTTGCTTTTTGTTGGTAAATTGCGCGTGAAGGTTTTGCTTCTCTTACAATGTTAATTCCTAATTTATTTTTAATTTTTGACCATTATTGTATTCAATACTGTCATACGTTATGGCTGAAACAAATAATGGTAAGTTTTTATAATTATTGTACTGTCCCTACCTCAATAAAGAAAGCGCTGCATATTTTTTATGTATGTATGAACAATACTAAGGTTTTAAAAAATGTCACGCATTCTCACACTCTGTTAAGTGTTTTTAATAGCTTTTAAATTCTTTTAAATAAATCTAAAACAAGTGCTAGTAGGCGCCACAAATATTTTTTGTTTGAAGCATTTTAATAGAAAGTTGCTTTTAAATTACTTAGTAGACTATGCATTTACAAAAGTAAATGGATCTCGAAAAAAAACTTAATTCAAAAATTTAATTTTTTTCAAAAAATATAGAAAAACGCTGAAAGCCCAGAAGTAATATTATTGTATAAAATACAGTCATACGTAACAATTAGGTTTTATTTTTATATAGTTCAGTTATATTTTTGTAATTTACTCATTAAAACTATAGATCTTAATTTTGCCATCACACAAATATACTTTTGTTAAAGTATTATATTGTCGATTTGTTTTTCTATTGGTAGTAAAAAGTAATTTTTATTAAAATTTTATCAATAAGACCAAAAAAATTAACATTAACTAAGAATTACTTAACCAAATAATTTCTTCGCGTTAAATTGGCTCTCTAGCCCACTGTGTGACGTATTTAAAATATTGTGTTTGTAAATAAGAAAAAAGCTGTAAGTTGGTATTCACTTTTAATTTTTAAATGTTTTGAGACACGATCACACCTTTTAATAGTATATTATGTATACATCAAGTTTGATAAACGCCATTTTGCGAGCAAGTGCTTAAATTAATGAGTCTATATAAAAGTTTATAAACGAGGTGCATACTATACTTTTTCTACGACAAATACTTAATATTATCTTAAAATGATTTAAATCAAAAATTTGTATAGAGCGCCATCTATGAAACAATAGGGGAATCTGTGTGTCACCGTCAAATGTCAAATTTTTTTATTTTATAAACACAGATTATAAAGGTTATAAATTGAAATGTATTTCTTGAAAATTGACAGTTTTTCACAGTGAAAGTAAAGAAAATATTTTATGAGCACTTTAAAGTGAAGTCCGTGCCCGAATTTAAGTTATAGTTTACTGCCGGAGAAATCAAAAGGTCAGTAATACTTTTGTATTTTTGTATTGAGATAATAAAATAATTTTCACATTTAGTAATATTTTACAAGAAAGGCACTTTATTTTAACGATTGTATGATATTTGACAACTGTCAACTAACTTCAGCCCGTGACTAAAACCTGTTGCTAACTTCAGCCCGTGACTAAAGCGCCATAAAGCCTCAACTTGCCAATGTGTATTTAAAAGTTCACTTACTGTCATGACACTTTCCATGCATGGAAACATGTATGATAAAGGGCGTTTTAAAGGTGGGAGTAGAAAAAGAATTTTTTTGTGACTTCACTGTTGCATTACAAAAAACTACCTACAGC